TCGGACCGAAGCTGGTCCGGTTATCGGACCAAAGCCGGTCTGGTTATCGGACCAAAGCCGGTCTGGTTATCGGACCAAAGCTGGTCTGGTTATCGGACCAAAGCTGGTCTGGTTATCGGACCGAAGCTGGTCTGGTTATCGGACCAAAGCTGGTCTGGTTATCGGACCAAAGCTGGTCTGGTTATCGGACCGAAGCTGGTCTGGTTATCGGACCAAAGCTGGTCTGGTTATCGGACCAAAGCTGGTCTGGTTATCGGACCAAAGCTGGTCTGGTTATCGGACCAAAGCTGGTCTGGTTATCGGACCAAAGCCGGTCTGGTTATCGGACCAAAGCCGGTCTGGGTATCGGACCGAAGCTGGTCTGGGTATCGGACCAAAGCTGGTCTGTTATCGGACCAAAGCTGGTCTGGTTATCGGACCAAAGCTGGTCTGTTATCGGACCGAAGCTGGTCTGGGTATCGGACCGAAGCTGGTCTGGGTATCTGACCAAAGCTGGTCTGGTTATCGGACCAAAGCTGGTCTGGTTATCGGACCAAAGCTGGTCTGGTTATCGGACCAAAGCTGGTCTGGTTATCGGACCAAAGCTGGTCTGGTTATCGGACCGAAGCTGGTCTGGTTATCGGACCAAAGCTGGTCTGGTTATCGGACCAAAGCTGGTCTGGTTATCGGACCAAAGCTGGTCTGGTTATCGGACCAAAGCTGGTCTGGTTATCGGACCAAAGCTGGTCTGGTTATCGGACCAAAGCCGGTCTGGGTATCGGACCGAAGCTGGTCTGGGTATCGGACCAAAGCTGGTCTGTTATCGGACCAAAGCTGGTCTGGTTATCGGACCAAAGCTGGTCTGTTATCGGACCGAAGCTGGTCTGGTTATCGGACCAAAGCTGGTCTGGTTATCGGACCAAAGCTGGTCTGGTTATCGGACCAAAGCCGGTCTGGGTATCGGACCGAAGCTGGTCTGGGTATCGGACCAAAGCTGGTCTGTTATCGGACCAAAGCTGGTCTGGTTATCGGACCAAAGCTGGTCTGTTATCGGACCGAAGCTGGTCTGTTATCGGACCAAAGCCGGTCTGGTTATCGGACCGAAGCTGGTCTGTTATCGGACCGAAGCTGGTCTGGTTATCGGACCGAAGCTGGTCTGTTATCGGACCGAAGCTGGTCTGGTTATCGGACCAAAGCTGGTCCGGTTATCGGACCGAAGCCGGTCTGGTTATCGGACCGAAGCTGGTCTGTTATCGGACCGAAGCTGGTCTGGTTATCGGACCGAAGCTGGTCTGTTATCGGACCGAAGCTGGTCTGGTTATCGGACCAAAGCCGGTCTGGTTATCGGACCGAAGCTGGTCTGTTATCGGACCGAAGCTGGTCTGGTTATCGGACCAAAGCTGGTCCGGTTATCGGACCGAAGCTGGTCTGGTTATCGGACCAAAGCTGGTCTGGTTATCGGACCGAAGCTGGTCTGGTTATCGGACCGAAGCTGGTCTGTTATCGGACCGAAGCTGGTCTGTTATCGGACCGAAGCTGGTCTGGTTATCGGACCAAAGCTGGTCCGGTTATCGGACCGAAGCTGGTCTGGTTATCGGACCAAAGCTGGTCTGGTTATCGGTTCATCGCTGGAATAAAACCTTTCTGACTGGATTCACACAGAGATGAGGAAAAATGTCTGATCTTTGCTTCGATCATCTGAAAACATTTATTCCTAAAGTAGCTAAAAACAATAAAAGGTCATTTCAAGCAAACATGTCTTTTGTCTCTTTATTGGAATAAAAGGATGCAGACCCCCCCTCTGCATAAGGCAAACCATCTGCATCACCTCACTGCTGATTAAAAACACGTTAAATTCACACATGTCTAAAAATAAAGCATAGAAATAGATTAAAACATTTAATAAAGAAAGTGTCAGCAGTGATTAACGGGAGAACTTAGTGTTTCTGATCCCAGGTTAGACCACAGACACGCTGCAGAACCAGCAGGCTGAAGGAAGAACCTCTGATAGACCGACTTACTCTCTGTGGGGAGGCCAGGCCTCCCCAGGGGCTCCCTGATGAACGCCTCTGCCCTCCAGGCAGCATCTGCAGAGAGAAGACAGAAATTTAACTTGCAACCCAGGCTGCTACTGATGCCTGGCTGCTGGAAGGATATAGTCTCAGTCAGCAGGAGGCACAGGGAGGAGGAGCTCTGGAGGAGCTGCAGGGGTGCTCCCTGCTCCTGCATGGCCTCCAGCACCTCCTCCTCTGTGGGCCCCCGGGTCCAGCAGCGCCCCCCCCCCTCTGGAAGGAGCCCCTGATCATCTGACGCTGAACAAAAACACAAGTTTGATCCATGCGATGGAGTCTAAGGGCCGAGATGGAGACTTTATTTTTCTATTTAGAGAATAAAGTCACAACGAGAAGATCAAAATTTACAAGAATAAACTCGTAAAATTAGGAGAATAAAGTTGCATTTTCTGACAGTCCTCTGGGTTCTGATTAGTCCCAGTCCTGCTCTGATCCTGGTGGTCCAGAACCGGTCCAGTCCTGGAAGCTGACATTAAAACCAGCAGGTCAGGAGCTCAGAGGGAGTTGCAGGTTGCAGGTTCTAGGCTGTAGGTTGCAGGTTGCATGCTGCAGGTTGCAGCTGGCATGTTGCAGGTTGTAGGTTGCATGCTGTAGGTTGTAGGTTGCAGGTTGTAGGTTGCATGCTGCAGGTTGCAGCTGGCATGTTGCAGGTTGTAGGTTGCAGGTTGCATGCTGTAGGTTGTAGGTGGCAGGTTGCATGTTGTAGGTTGCAGGTTGTAGGTTGCAGGTTGCATGCTGCAGGTTGTAGGTTGCAGGTTGCATGCTGTAGGTTGCAGGTTGTAGGTTGTAGGTTGCATGCTGTAGGTTGTAGGTGGCAGGTTGCATGCTGTAGGTTGCAGGTTGCATGCTGCAGGTTGTAGGTGGCAGGTTGCATGCTGCAGGTTGTAGGTTGCAGGTTGTAGGTTGCATGCTGTAGGTTGTAGGTGGCAGGTTGCAGGTTGTAGGTTGCATGCTGTAGGTTGTAGGTTGCAGGTTGTAGGTTGCATGCTGTAGGTTGTAGGTGGCAGGTTGCATGCTGCAGGTTGTAGGTTGCAGGTTGCATGCTGCAGGTTGTAGGTTGCAGGTTGTAGGTTGCATGCTGTAGGTTGTAGGTGGCAGGTTGCAGGTTGTAGGTTGCATGCTGTAGGTTGTAGGTGGCAGGTTGCATGCTGTAGGTTGCAGGTTGCATGCTGCAGGTTGTAGGTGGCAGGTTGCATGCTGCAGGTTGTAGGTTGCAGGTTGCATGCTGTAGGTTGCAGGTTGCATGCTGTAGGTTGCAGGTTGTAGGTTGTATGCTGTAGGTTGTAGGTGGCAGGTTGCATGCTGCAGGTTGTAGGTTGCAGGTTGCATGCTGTAGGTTGCAGGTTGTAGGTTGTAGGTTGCATGCTGTAGGTTGTAGGTGGCATGTTGCAGGTTGTAGGTGGCAGGTTGCAGGTTGTAGGTTGCATGCTGTAGGTTGTAGGTGGCAGGTTGCATGCTGTAGGTTGCAGGTTGCATGCTGCAGGTTGTAGGTGGCAGGTTGCATGCTGCAGGTTGTAGGTTGCAGGTTGCAGGTTGCATGCTGTAGGTTGCAGGTTGTAGGTTATATGCTGTAGGTTGTAGGTGGCAGGTTGCATGCTGCAGGTTGTAGGTGGCATGTTGCAGGTTGTAGGTGGCAGGTTGCAGGTTGTAGGTTGTAGGTTGCATGCTGTAGGTTGTAGGTGGCAGGTTGCATGCTGTAGGTTGCAGGTTGCATGCTGCAGGTTGTAGGTTGCAGGTTGCATGCTGTAGGTTGTAGGTTGCAGGCTCTAGGCTGCAGGCTTTAGGTTGCAGGTTGCATGCTGTAGGTTGCAGGTTGCATGCTGTAGGTTGCAGGTTGTAGGTTGTAGGTTGCATGCTGTAGGTTGTAGGTGGCATGTTGCAGGTTGTAGGTGGCAGGTTGCAGGTTGTAGGTTGCATGCTGTAGGTTGTAGGTGGCATGTTGCAGGTTGTAGGTGGCAGGTTGCAGGTTGTAGGTTGCATGCTGTAGGTTGTAGGTGGCATGTTGCAGGTTGTAGGTGGCAGGTTGCAGGTTGTAGGTTGCATGCTGTAGGTTGCAGGTTGCATGTTGTAGGTTGCAGGTTGTAGGTTGCAGGTTGCATGCTGCAGGTTGTAGGTTGCAGGTTGCATGCTGTAGGTTCCAGGTTGTAGGTTGTAGGTTGCATGCTGTAGGTTGTAGGTGGCATGTTGCAGGTTGTAGGTGGCAGGTTGCAGGTTGTAGGTTGCATGCTGTAGGTTGTAGGTGGCAGGTTGCATGCTGTAGGTTGCAGGTTGCATGCTGCAGGTTGTAGGTGGCAGGTTGCATGCTGCAGGTTGTAGGTTGCAGGTTGCAGGTTGCATGCTGTAGGTTGCAGGTTGTAGGTTGTATGCTGTAGGTTGTAGGTGGCAGGTTGCATGCTGCAGGTTGTAGGTGGCATGTTGCAGGTTGTAGGTGGCAGGTTGCAGGTTGTAGGTTGTAGGTTGCATGCTGTAGGTTGTAGGTGGCAGGTTGCATGCTGTAGGTTGCAGGTTGCATGCTGCAGGTTGTAGGTTGCAGGTTGCATGCTGTAGGTTGTAGGTTGCAGGCTCTAGGCTGCAGGCTTTAGGTTGCAGGTTGCATGCTGTAGGTTGCAGGTTGCATACTTTAGGTTGCAGGTTGCATGCTGCTGGTTGTAAGTGGCAGGTTGCAGGCTCTAGGCTGCAGGCTTTAGGTTGCAGGTTGCATGCTGCTGGTTGTAAGTGGCAGGTTGCATGCTGCAGGTTGTAAGTGGCAGGTTGCAGGCTCTAGGCTGCAGGCTTTAGGTTGCAGGTTGCATGCTGCTGGTTGTAAGTGGCAGGCTGCAGGTTGTAGGTTGTAGGTTGCAGGTTGTAGGTTGCAGGTTGTAGGCTCTAGGCTGCTGGTTGCAGGTTGCATGCTGTAGGTTGCATGCTGCTGGTTGCAGGCTGCAGGTTGTAGGCTGCAGGTTGTAGGTTGCATGCTGCTGGTTGCAGGTTGTATGTGGCAGGTTGCATGCTGCAGGGCTGCAGACTGATCATTCTGCATGAAACCTTCAGCAGATCTGATTGATCCCAGTCCTGCTCTGATCCTCCTGGTGGCTAACAGCAGCTAGCACCGTTAGCTGCAGCAGCTGCAGCAGCTCCCACGTTTCTACCGTAAAACTGGGTCAGAACCGAACCTGAAATGGAGACAACGACGACGAAGAGAAGAGACAACAAGAAGTCTCTGCGGGTTAAAGTCATCAGCCTCGGCAACGCGGAGGTGGGGAAGGTAGGCCGGGTTCTGCTTATTTGACAGCAAATAAAGATGGAGACTGGTCCCCTGCAGCTGGACGCAGCAAACACGGACCTACCCCGCTGATCATCATCATCATAACCCGGTTATTACATCCAGAGGGACGGATCAGTTACTGACAGCCTGGAAAAACAACCGTTATTGGATTTTATTTAGATTTTATACCGAAGCTTCAAAGTCTCAGACCAAGACGTTTTGTTTACGCCAGACTCTGTTTAAATAACGAGTGATTTTATTATAACCGAGTAGTTCTTCATATATTATCATGTTTTATTACATTGCTTATTAAAATGATTATTGTTCTATTAATCGGCTGATTGATGAGGATGATTAATGTGAGCTTCAGTGATGTTCTGGATGTTTCTACCCTCAGAGCTGCATCATCAAGCGCTACTGCGAGAAGAGGTTCGTCCCAAAGTACCTGGCGACCATCGGCATCGACTACGGAGTCACCAAGTGAGTCCTGGTTCTGACCCGGAGGTTCTGGTTCTGATCCAGTGGTTCTGACCCAGTGGTTCTGACCCGCAGGTCCTGGTTCTGACCTGATGGTTCTGACCCACTGGTTCTGGTTCTAACCCGGTGGTTCTGGTTCTGACCCACTGGTTCTGGTTCTAACCCGGTGGTTCTGGTTCTAACCCAGTGGCTCTGACCCGGTGGTTCTGACCCACTGGTTCTGGTCCTGACCCAGTGGTTCTGACCCTCTGATTCTGGTTTAGACCCGGTGGTTCTGACCCAGTGGTTCTGACCCAAAGGTTCTGGTTCTAACCTGGTGGTTCTGGTTCTGACCCGCTGGTTCTGTGTGTGTCAGGGTCCAGGTGAGGGACAGGGAGATGAAGGTGAACATCTTCGACATGGCCGGACATCCCTTCTTCTATGAGGTGAGTCTCTGCAGCTTCCAGCAGCAGCAGCAGCTTCCTGGTTCTGGTTCTGACCCGTTTTCAGGTCCGGAACGAGTTCTACAAGGACAGCCAGGGGGTTCTGCTGGTCTACGACGTGGGTCTGAGGGAGAGCTTCATCGCCCTGGAAGGCTGGCTGGGCGAGATGAAGCAGGAGATGGGCTCCCAGGCCAACATGGACAGCATCGTCTTCACCATCTGCGCCAACAAGGTCCGCCCACGCTGCACCGCTCTGGTTCTGCTTCTGGTTCCGGTTCCGGTTCTGGTTCCCTGTAGACTTCTGCTTTCTTCTGCTGCTTTCAGGTGGACCTGACCAAACGGCGCGTGGTGGACGAAGGCGAGGGTCGTCTGTGGGCGGAGTCCAGAGGCTTCCATTACTTCGAGACGTCGGCGCAGAGCGGGGAGGGCATCAACGAGATGTTCCAGGTAGAGGTTCCACTGACCCCGGCAGGAGAACGTCTCTGAGGCAGGAGAACGTCTCTGAGCTTCTGAGAACGTCTCTGAGGGAGGAGAACGTCTCTGAGGCAGGAGAACGTCTCTGAGGGAGGAGAACGTCTCTGAGGCAGGAGAACGTCTCTGAGGCAGGAGAACGTCTCTGAGGCAGGAGAACGTCTCTGAGCTTCTGAAAACGTCTCTGAGGCAGGAGAACGTCTCTGAGCTTCTGAGAACGTCTCTGAGGGAGGAGAACGTCTCTGAGGCAGGAGAACGTCTCTGAGGCAGGAGAACGTCTCTGAGGGAGGAGAACGTCTCTGAGGCAGGATAACGTCTCTGAGGCAGGAGAACGTCTCTGAGGCAGGAGAACGTCTCTGAGCTTCTGAGAACGTCTCTGAGGCAGGAGAACGTCTCTGAGCTTCTGAGAACATCTCTGAGGCAGGAGAACGTCTCTGAGCTTCTGAGAACGTCTCTGAGGCAGGAGAACGTCTCTGAGGCAGGAGAACGTCTCTGAGCTTCTGAAAACGTCTCTGAGGGAGGAGAACGTCTCTGAGGGAGGAGAACGTCTCTGAGGCAGGAGAACGTCTCTGAGGGAGGAGAACGTCTCTGAGGCAGGAGAACGTCTCTGAGGGAGGAGAACGTCTCTGAGGCAGGATAACGTCTCTGAGGCAGGAGAACGTCTCTGAGCTTCTGAAAACGTCTCTGAGGCAGGATAACGTCTCTGAGGGAGGAGAACGTCTCTGAGGCAGGAGAACGTCTCTGAGCCAGGAGAACGTCTCTGAGCTTCTGAAAATGTCTCTGAGGCAGGAGAACGTCTCTGAGGGAGGAGAACGTCTCTGAGGCAGGAGAACGTCTCTGAGGCAGGAGAACGTCTCTGAGCCAGGAGAACGTCTCTGAGCTTCTGAAAACGTCTCTGAGGCAGGAGAACGTCTCTGAGCCAGGAGAACGTCTCTGAGCCTCTGAGAACGTCTCTGAGGCAGGAGAACGTCTCTGAGCCTCTGAGAACGTCTCTGAGGCAGGATAACGTCTCTGAGGCAGGAGAACGTCTCTGAGGGAGGAGAACGTCTCTGAGGGAGGAGAACATGTCTGAGGGAGGAGAACGTCTCTGAGCTTCTGAGAATATCTCTGAGGGAGGAGAACGTCTCTGAGGGAAGAGAACGTCTCTGAGGGAGGAGAACGTCTCTGAGGGAGGAGAACGTCTCAGTGGGAGGAGAACGTCTCTGAGGGAAGAGAACGTCTCTGAGGGAGGAGAACGTCTCTGAGCTTCTGAGAACGTCTGTGAGGGAGGAGAATGTCTCTGAGGGAGGAGAACATCTCTGAGCTTCTGAGAACGTCTCTGTGGGAGGAGAACGTCTCTGTGGGAGGAGAACGTCTCTGAGGGAGGAGAATGTCTCTGAGGGAGGAGAACGTCTCTGAGGGAAGAGAACGTCTCTGAGGGAGGAGAACGTCTCTGAGCTTCTGAGAACGTCTGTGAGGGAGGAGAACGTCTCTGTGGGAGGAGAACGTCTCTGAGCTTCTTAGAACGTCTCTGAGGCAGGAGAACATCTCTGAGGCAGGAGAACGTCTCTGAGGCAGGAGAACGTCTCTGAGGGAGGAGAACGTCTCTGAGGGAGGAGAACGTCTCTGAGTTTCTGAGAACGTCTCTGAGCTTCTGAGAATATCTCTGAGGCAGGAGAACGTCTCTGAGGGAAGAGAACGTCTCTGAGGGAGGAGAACGTCTCTGAGGGAGGAGAACGTCTCAGAGGGAGGAGAACGTCTCTGAGGGAAGAGAATGTCTCTGAGGGAGGAGAACGTCTCTGAGCTTCTGAGAACGTCTGTGAGGGAGGAGAACATCTCTGAGGCAGGAGAACGTCTCTGAGCTTCTGAGAACGTCTCTGAGGGAGGAGAATGTCTCTGAGGGAGGAGAACATCTCTGAGCTTCTGAGAACGTCTCTGTGGGAGGAGAACGTCTCTGAGCTTCTGAGAACGTCTCTGAGGCAGGAGAACGTCTCTGAGGGAGGAGAACGTCTCTGAGGGAAGAGAACGTCTCTGAGGGAGGAGAACGTCTCTGAGCTTCTGAGAACGTCTGTGAGGGAGGAGAACGTCTCTGTGGGAGGAGAACGTCTCTGAGCTTCTTAGAACGTCTCTGAGGCAGGAGAACATCTCTGAGGCAGGAGAACGTCTCTGAGGGAGGAGAACGTCTCTGAGGGAGGAGAACATCTATGAGGCAGGAGAACGTCTCTGAGGGAGGAGAACGTCTCTGAGGGAGGAGAACGTCTCTGAGGGAGAAGAATGTCTCTGAGGGAGGAGAATGTCTCTGAGGGAGGAGAACATCTATGAGCTTCTGAGAATATCTCTGAGGGAGGAGAACGTCTCTGAGGGAAGAGAACGTCTCTGAGGGAGGAGAACGTCTCTGAGGGAGGAGAACGTCTCAGTGGGAGGAGAACGTCTCTGAGGGAAGAGAACGTCTCTGAGGGAGGAGAACGTCTCTGAGCTTCTGAGAACGTCTGTGAGGGAGGAGAATGTCTCTGAGGGAGGAGAACATCTCTGAGCTTCTGAGAACGTCTCTGTGGGAGGAGAACGTCTCTGTGGGAGGAGAACGTCTCTGAGGGAGGAGAATGTCTCTGAGGGAGGAGAACGTCTCTGAGGGAAGAGAACGTCTCTGAGGGAGGAGAACGTCTCTGAGCTTCTGAGAACGTCTGTGAGGGAGGAGAACGTCTCTGTGGGAGGAGAACGTCTCTGAGCTTCTTAGAACGTCTCTGAGGCAGGAGAACATCTCTGAGGCAGGAGAACGTCTCTGAGGCAGGAGAACGTCTCTGAGGGAGGAGAACGTCTCTGAGGGAGGAGAACGTCTCTGAGTTTCTGAGAACGTCTCTGAGCTTCTGAGAATATCTCTGAGGCAGGAGAACGTCTCTGAGGGAAGAGAACGTCTCTGAGGGAGGAGAACGTCTCTGAGGGAGGAGAACGTCTCAGAGGGAGGAGAACGTCTCTGAGGGAAGAGAATGTCTCTGAGGGAGGAGAACGTCTCTGAGCTTCTGAGAACGTCTGTGAGGGAGGAGAACATCTCTGAGGCAGGAGAACGTCTCTGAGCTTCTGAGAACGTCTCTGAGGGAGGAGAATGTCTCTGAGGGAGGAGAACATCTCTGAGCTTCTGAGAACGTCTCTGTGGGAGGAGAACGTCTCTGAGCTTCTGAGAACGTCTCTGAGGCAGGAGAACGTCTCTGAGGGAGGAGAACGTCTCTGAGGGAAGAGAACGTCTCTGAGGGAGGAGAACGTCTCTGAGCTTCTGAGAACGTCTGTGAGGGAGGAGAACGTCTCTGTGGGAGGAGAACGTCTCTGAGCTTCTTAGAACGTCTCTGAGGCAGGAGAACATCTCTGAGGCAGGAGAACGTCTCTGAGGGAGGAGAACGTCTCTGAGGGAGGAGAACATCTATGAGGCAGGAGAACGTCTCTGAGGGAGGAGAACGTCTCTGAGGGAGGAGAACGTCTCTGAGGGAGAAGAATGTCTCTGAGGGAGGAGAATGTCTCTGAGGGAGGAGAACATCTATGAGCTTCTGAGAACGTCTCTGAGCCTCTGAGAACGTCTCTGAGGGAGGAGAACGTCTCTGAGCTTCTGAGAACGTCTCTGAGGCAGGAGAACGTCTCTGAGCTTCTGAGAACGTCTGAGCTTCTGAGAACGTCTCTGAGGCAGGAGAACGTCTCTGAGGCAGGAGAACGTCTCTGAGCTTTTGAGAATGTCTCTGAACATCTGTGAATATCTTAGTCTCTGAGGTTCTCCTGGTCTCTGAGCTTCTCCTGCTGTCTAATGTTCTCCTGGTCTCTGAGGTTCTCCTGGTCTCTAATGTTCTCCTGATCTCTGAGGTTCTCCTGGTCTCTGAGGTTCTCCTGGTCTCTGATGTTCTCCTGGTCTCTGATGTTCTCCAGTTCTCCTGTTCTCCTCCGCAGGCCTTCTTCTCCTCCATCACGGACATGTGTGAGAACGGCGGGAAGCGTCCGGTGGCTGAGGTCAGCGTGGGCTTCACCAAGGAGCAGGCCGACACCATCCGCCGCATCCGCAACAGCAAGGACTCCTGGGACATGCTGGGCGTGAAGCCCGGCGCCACGCGGTGAGTCCGCCGCCTACCGCCGCCGCCCGGCGCCGCGCGCCCAGAACCCGCTGACCCTCTGCTGTCTCTGCAGGGAGGAGGTGAACAAGGCATACAGGAAGCTGGCCGTCCTGCTGCACCCTGACAAGTGTGTGGCCCCCGGCAGCGAGGACGCCTTCAAGGCCGTGGTCAACGCACGCACCTCCCTGCTCAAGAACATCAAGTAACGGGAGGAGGAACCATGAGGAGGAGGAACCTAAGGAGAAGAATCTGAGGAGGAGAACCTGAGGAGGAGAATCTGAGGAGGAGAACCTGAACTCTTTTCTATCTCACTTGTTGTGTTTGTGCCAACTGTTAGACCTGTCAGCTGAGGAGGAGGAGGAGGGCCAGTTGCTCCTCCTCCTCCTCCTCCTCCTCCTCCTCCTCCTCCTCCTCCTCAGTCTCTGATCTTTCATTCGTTGTTTACAGAAAGTTTTTTCTTCATCCTAAAAAAAATTTTCTTAAATTTTTTTTGTTTTCTGTAAAAAAATTCAATTTTAAAAGATTTTCCTGAATTTATTAGAAACATTTTTAGGTTTATATTTAATTTAAAAAGTTTATCATTTAAAATCAGATTTTTTTCAAATGATCCCAGAAATGAAAAAATATTAACAATAATATTTATTATTTATTTAAAATAAAAATCAGCCCTTAATGTTTTAATAATTTATAAAAATATTTCCTTTAGAATTTTTTCTTTTTTAATTTCAGATTAAATCCAAAGATTAACGGTGGATTAAAATCCGTCCCCCTTTAATCCAGCTTCTCTAATAAAACGTCTGAATGACGTCATTTCAGGAATATTCTGAATATTAGAAGTTCTGGATCAGAGGAAACGAAGGATTTAATCTGGATTAAAGGTTCAGAAAATGTTTTAGAACTCGCTTCTGGATTTGAACCCGATCCGATCTTTGACGGAACCAAAGGGTCTCTGGTTCTGGATGGGTTCTGCTCCTGGGTTCTGTAACTGGTCAGAACCTCCACTGGATGTAGGCCCAGAACCAGCAGCCTGGAGGTCCGCGGCTGGTTCTGCTCGGTCCAAATGGACTCAGGCTGACAGGTTCTGGTTCTGCTCGGTCCAAATGGACTCACGCTGACAGGTTCTGGTTCTGCTCGGTCCAAATGGACTCAGGCTGACAGGTTCTGGTTCTGCTCGGTCCAAATGGACTCACGCTGACAGGTTCTGGTTCTGCTCGGTCCAAATGGACTCAGGCTGACAGGTTCTGGTTCTGCTCGGTCCAAATGGACTCACGCTGACAGGTTCTGGTTCTGAGAACCGTAAAGTTCTGGTGGTTTTTGCAGAGAATGATCAGAACCGACCCAAAGTGAACGGACTGAGATCGGTTCTGTTAGTCTAGAAAACAGAACCAGAACTTCTCCAACAATCTGGCTTTGATGCTTCTGCTCCTAGAACTCCTAGATCTGTCCAATCACAGCTCCTCCTGCAGGAACAGCCTTTCTATTGGTCAGTGTGTCGACCAATAGAAATTAGTCTGCTCCTGGTTGCCCTTAGCGACAGCTTCTCTATTGGTCGCCACAGCGATCAGCCAGCAATCTGGGAAAAAATTAAATCTGGATTAACATCAAACTGGGAAATGAGACCCAGTTGAACCTGGTTCTGACCCAGTAGAACCGGTCCTCCACTGCCAACCACACTAAAAACTGTCACCATGGAAACGGCTGACCCCCCCTGTGCAGCATGCCCCCTCCCCTCCATGTTTACACCCGGTCCAGTAGAACCGGCCTTCAATCTGTTTGTTCTACTTTTATATTTCTACATATTTATGTCAGCAGGAATGAATAAACCAGTCTGTTTGCACATCCCAGTTAAAGTTCTTACTGGTTTGTTTTCCTGATCTTCTTTCTGGTTTTTGATTCGTAGAAAACAGAAACATAGAATTTCATTTTAGATGCTGTGTTTAGTTCTCTGGTTAAAAATTCGCCTCAGCTTTAAAATTCCACCTGTGAGTCCAGCTCCAAAAATATAGATAAGAAATATATGGAAGAAATCTGCCTGTTTTTGGCACCGAATTTAGAAAAACTTTTTGCAGGCTAATTTTTTTTGCAGCTGAATTTTTACCAGATCAAAATTCAGTGTAAGGTGATTAAATAAAGAAAAAGATAAAAATAAACACTGTAAAACATCAAAGCCCATTAGAAACTCTGGATGAACCTCAGACTTTATAGATCCAGATCTAGACTAGAACTAAAGCTAATCTGGACTGAATCAGTTGAAACATGTTTGTTCCATGAAGGTTTTAATGAGCAGAGATTTAGGAGGAAATGGGATTTTAGCACAATGGTGCCAAAAGAGGCTAAATTATGCAAAAATGCATTTTTCTCCTCATAAAAGTGAATCTGGTCAGACCAATCTGCTGATTTCCATTATTGGAGACTTTCTGCATAAAGCCTTTGATCCTCAGATTGAGCCGTTAGTTCATTGAAAATTACCAATAAAATCAGCAAACTGGATAGAAAATAATAACAGAGCAGCTTGAACATACGGAAGAGGATTAGAGCCACTGAAAATATGAAAAAGTTAACTGATATGTAAATTTTATTTCAGGTTAATATGGGGGGAAAAAGTCTGAATTCTGAGATTAAACTCAGAATTCAGACTTTTTCCTCCATATTAAACTGAAATAAAATTTAAATATTGAATTTTTCATTTTCTCAGTGGCTCTAATCCTCTTCTGTAGTAACGCATGCCGGTTCCATCACCTGAAACGGTCGCACAATGACCTCTGACCCCTCCTTGGAAAGACCTGAGCCTCTAGTTTCCAATGATGGCGGCCATTAGGGGGCGGGGCTAAAGATGAATACCTGCTGTTGCAGAGTCACACATGTCAGGTGGGATTTTAAACCTCATTTGAAAGGCGCATGGATGAAACACCATGTGACTGTTTGGGCCATTTCTATAAATAGATCAACAGCAGGTAGTGAACCGGACCCGCCGGGCTTAAAAATCTGAATATTTGAAACAGTCAGAACCTCCTGGACCCGTCGCTCCGTTATAAGCCTGGATCTGTCCTCTGACCAGCAGGGGGCGGGCCTGATGGCCGATCTGGACCAGCACCATGACCTGCAGTCCATCTCAGGCGGCTGATGGCTGAGATGGAGCAGAGGCCTGCAGAGCGGGGCTTCTCCACCAGGTGGCAGCACACCCAGCCCTCCTCCCTCCCAGAGCAGAGTCCATCTTCTCAGGTTTCTGTCCATCTGTGAAGCTTCCATCAACACGGCAGCTCCTCACAGCCTGGAGGCTGGCCTGGTTGGAGGCCGGCCAATCCCATCATGCACCTGAGCGCTCAGCCACCGCCACATGGCTAATCTGGCTGATTAATGAGGGAGGGGTTCCTGATGGGATTAGATCAGCTCTGGACATCTGCTGGTCCACGTCAGCTCATTACTTCAAGCTGCTTCCTCTCTCTGCTTCACGGCCGCCACGGTAACCTCACCTTCCCAGCTCTCCACATTCGAGGAAGAAATGAGGCTCTTGGATCATCTGGTCCAGTTTAAAGAGCCAACTGGGAGCAGTGGGAGCATCTCTGAGCGAAGAGGAAACAAACCATTCGAGACGTCATGAAGATCTCAGATCTGCCGCCAAGATGGACGAAGAGGACAGAGGAGGAAACAGAGCAGAGACCCAACTGTGATCAGGAAGACGGAACCGGACCAGACCGGACCACAGTCCTCTCTGTATGAGATGATTAAATCTGTTCTGCAACCAGTGAGTACGGCCGTCTGGTCCACCATGACCCAGTTCACCCACTCTACCCTGCTAGCCTGACCTTAACCCGTCTAGTCATCTCAGAACTCTTAGTAAACCCAGGTTCTGCTACCTGACGAACCTTTCCTTACATCCTTTGAGGTTCTGTTTTATTCCCATTTAGTCACTTTTCCTCATAAGGATTTCCTTTACCTTCAGCCAGAACTGAAGCTGGACTCCTAAACGGTTTCTGCTTGGATCCAAATGGCAGAATTCTCTTCAGACAGAAAGAAACTCGAAACGATTCATCCAATATTGTCCCCTGGAGAGCGGAAACGATTTATTAACAGCTCGAATTCCAACAGCTGTATGAAAAGCGCTAATCTGAAAACATCATCACAAACGATCGCAGCTTTTCCCCCAAATATGGCGCCAGGGAAAAAAAGGAAAAAAAATCCTGAGCCTGAACTTTTTCGACGCAGGCAAGAAGAAACTATATATAAATATATATCAGAGATTATATATATCAGGGATCAGAGATTGCATGAATGATTGAAGACTAAATTTGACTTTTAAAACTCCAATACCAAAATCGGCCAGAAGATGGCAGAAGTGCATCAATATCTAGTGTCCAACTCGCATACAGCTATTGATACTGGTACATCAGCTGCTGCTGTAGCTCAACTCAATTCTATTCAGTTTATTTCTATAGCTCCAATTCACATCATATCATCTCAGGTCATTTTATAGATCCAGAACAACCAGATCATCCAGTCAGATTGATTCAAAGTTTTCTATCTAAGGAAAACCAGCTGATTGCATCGACTCATTGACTCTTCAGCAATCCCTCACACTAAGCATGCTTGTAGCGACAGTGGAGAGGAAAAACTCCCTTTGAACAGGAAGAAACCTCCAGCAGAACCAGGCTCAGTGTGAGCGGCCATCTGCTGAGGCCCACTGGGGTTCAAGGAGACAGAAGCAGACATAGAAAAAGAAGCATAGATACAAAAGGCAACTGTCAACCAGCTCCACAGGCGGCCCCGTCCAGGAAACACACAGCCAGGCAGACGAGCTCCGAGCCAGCTCCCATGTCAGAGGATGAAGAGAGCACATCCAGTTAGTCACAGTCAGAGCAGAGAAACAGGACTATACTGGAAAACAGGCCAAGCTCCAATATCTAGAAACAAAGGTGTTGATGGCAGCAGCACAGCTGATATTTCTCTCCAGGATGGAGTCACAGCCAAACAGGAACAGACCAGATGAAGCTACTATGAGAAAAAGCAGAGAGAGCAGAACGTTAGAGATTGAACTAACAGATTCTGCAGAGTGGGAGAATAGAGATAGAATGAAGCAGAATGATGAAAAAGGGGTCCCTATGTCCTCCAGCAGTATAAGCCTATAGCAGCAGAACTACAGAGATAGATCAGGAGGAATCGGCCTGAAAAGGGCGTATAGATTATGCCCAGCTTTAGCCCCAGTAGTCGACGGGGGGAACTAATTATCAGACTTGTGCATTTAAGTTCCCCATTAGCACCAGGAGGAACCAGAGAACATTGGGATCCACCTTTGATAGAACTCTAAAGTGCTGGTTATCCTCTCGCAGCAGTGTGTTGCAGTTAGCTTGTCGCAGGTATGATCAGATATTTTTGATTTATTCCCAGTTTATGCGTTGTCTCCGCTATTTTATTCCACGCCACAACGCCAGAGGGACAATCAGGAACTAGCTAGGATTGTGGGTGTCAGTGTGTCGGTTTGACGAGCTTGTTTGCCGTCTACAACCCTTCCTCCAACGCCGGACGACACACAGTTCACCCGTGAGTGTTCACCAAAGACCGGCCGTGGCGCTGCGTGTTTTGGCTTCGGGTGCAAACCAACAGACCGTCGCACAGAGCTGCAAACTAGCGTCCTACACGCTGTCTGGGATAGAGTCCGAGGTGAGCCAGGTGCGGTGGACGGCACTACAGCCAGAGTTTCTGCCATTAGGTACCAAACAGGAAATACTCATAGTGTAGAGTGGATGTAGATTTGACCAATCAGAGGCCTCCTGTCTGCGCTCACCTACAATTTTGGGGAGGTGCACCAGAGTGTCTTCTGAACATAAACCAGGCTTACGGTTTCTATATTTTGGCTTCCAGCAGCTCCGCAGCTCATTGCTACCCTCCGCATTACCATGACTGACAACCACACCACACTGAAGAATGGCGACTGTGAGTCAGCGAGACAAGCCAGCGACATCACCTTCAGCGCATCTATCAGCCCCGCCCACGGCCTCCGAAGGAAACGCCTGCTGTGGCAGACCGCGGTCAGGAACATCATCGATCAGCATAACCTTTACTCTCTGAGGCTCGCCGGAGGACTGGAGAGAGGACGCCACCGCATCACCGTCACAGATGCCTACATTGCCGACATCAACAGGTAGGGTGTCTAAAGTGGCCCTACGGGCGAATGGAGGGCTTTGGACTCTTTGGTCAGGGATCTTTCCCTTTCTGTTGCTCCGCAGGCAGATACGAAATAAAACGTCTCGTGGGAACTTTTGGCAGAAGCGTCGTTCCTCCGCAGCTCGAGTTCATCCAACGGTGCCAAGGATTTCTGTTCAGACACAAGTCGGCCAGCGCTTGCTGACTGATGCTGACTTCTTTGTGTCGTATGGATCAACAGTCCGAGGCATCTTCATTCCTACGATGGAGCTAACATTCAAGTAAAGAAGCACAGACTGCAACCGAAGGTAAAAGTTTCCCTTAAAATGATTCGTAAAGCTTCTTTTGTTCCATCAGGTCTGCTGACCTGGAGCTGACCTACCAGCAGTTTTCCTCAGCTCAGAAAAAAACCTCCCTATTGGTCACCAACCTCATCGACGTCTTCATCCGACTGTTCATCTCTCTGGTGACATGGCCAACAGGCTGGGGGGGCGTGGCCTGTGAGTGGCTGACCGGCCTGGCGGTCATTCTCTGGGCGGGGATCTGTGGGTTGTCTGTGACTAAGCAGGAGGTGATGGCGTCACCACAGTGGCTCAGGTGAGGCCTCTTACCTGTTCAACAAAGACCAAAAAGCAGAGTGCTTACCTCCCATCCTCCCTCAGGTACCTGTCGGTGGTCACCTGGCTGTCCCAGACTGTCCAGGTGTTGGTGGGTGTTTTCACCTGGGCTGAAACAGATCATTCCTGGTACGTGTTCTTCACCCTCTTCTCCACCTACACCCTGCTGCCTCTGCCCCTCCCCTGGTCAATTACAACAGGGGCGATAACCTCCATCCTCCACCTGCTGGTGGATGTCTGGTGGAACAACAGTAACCAAGTTCTGATCAGAAGGGTCAGCAAACGTTTCTCTTTTTTCTATATTTGGTCCCTTTTCCTCTTTGTTTCCTCTAAATGTCATTCTCTTCCATATCTTCTCGGTTCAGGTCATCTCCAAGGCCTTGTTGTACCTTGCAATGAACACAGCAGGTATCTTCATCAACTACCTGTCTGACCGGACACAGCGACAGAGTTTTCTGGAGACCCGTAGGTGTATTGAAGGACGGGTCCGACTGGAGAGAGAGAACCAAAGACAGGTACCTCCTACCTCACCGAATGATATCTGCCATCGTAAAACAAAATGATAAACTCTGCCGTCTTTCTCTCAGGAGCGTTTGGTGATGTCCATCTTACCGCGCTTCCTGGTTCTGGAGATGATTGCAGACATGGCCGCGGTGGACGAATATCTGCTGCCTCAACAGTTTCACAAAATTTACATCCACCACTACAAGGATGTCAGGTGACCAAAGAGCAGCAGAGAGCTTTTCCTTAAATCGTAGCTTTGGACTCAGCAGTAAACCCTTTCTGTTTGTCCAGCATCCTGTTTGCAGACATCATCGGCTTCACGTCTCTCTCTCTGATTCTTTCGGCTCAGGAACTTGTTAAAACCCTCAATGAGCTTTTCGGACGCTTCGACCGGCTGGCTGAGGTCGCCAACTTTAAACGGTTATATTAAGAAGCCGTTTGTGTAGATAGAGGGTTATGTTTCTTTTCCTGATTGCAGGAGCATCAGTGTTTGAGGATAAAGATCCTTGGTGACTGTTACTACTGCGTCTCCGGAGTCCCAGAGCCCCAGCGAGGACACGCCCGCTGCTGCGTGGAGATGGGCCTCAGCATGATCAGCACCATACGGTCAGAAAACAGACATCCCCAACATTTTGCCGCAAAGTGTCTCGGGAGGACACATGTCTCTCACTGCAGGTATGTTCGCCGAGAGCTGCAGCAGGAAGTAGACATGAGGATTGGCGTCCACTCGGGTTCGGTCCTCTGTGGTGTGTTGGGGCTCCAGAAGTGGCAGTTTGACATCTGGAGCTGGGATGTTGACATCGCCAACAGTCTGGAAGCTGCAGGAGTGCCAGGGTCAGCAACATGTGGTTATGTCTCTGTTTAGTTTCAAGCAGCTGCCCCTTACCCTGGTCCCCAGGGTCCTCAGGGGCCCCTGTGTGTTGGTAGGTGTCGCCTACCAACACACACCTGGTTAAGATAAAGGAGTGATTAATCAGCCTCTCAAGCTCTTCCTGTCTGCTGAGGAGGCAATGCAACACAGAAATATCTGGAACATGGAGGTTCAGGAGACCCTGAGGACCAGGAGACCCTGAGGCCCAGGAGCCCCTGAGGACCAGGAGACCCTGAGGACCAGGAGACCCTGAGGACCAGGAGACCCTGAGGACCAAGTTGGGCACCAGTGGTTTAGAGACTCATCCTTCATGTTCTCCCCTCTCAGGCAGGTCCATATCTCTCAGGCCACTCTGGACTGTCTTGGCGGGACCTTTGAGACGGAGCAGGGCAACGGCCAGGACCGCAGCGAGTTTCTACGGAAACACAACATCGAGACATATTTGATCCGCCCGGCGACACGAGATGAAGCCCAGCCCCCAAGAGCAAGGCGCCCAAGTTATGATGAACTGACCACTTGGAGCGCTGAGCTGCCGTTCGGAGACATCCTGGGGATGAATTTTGTAAGTTGTTCTGGAATTATTTGGATTTTTTTCAGAGCGGTTTCATCACGTCGTTGCTTTGTGCTTCACCGGGCCTTTTTAGATCCTGGCTACTTTCACCAACGGTTCCCTGACCCAGTTGCCGAATCACATCGCAGCGCAGCGATCCGGCTCACGGGAAGTGAACAAGAGGATTCGTCAGGCAATGGAAGCTCGGAGCAGCGAGCGAATGAGGAAAGAGCACATCACCACTTTCACTCAGGTGTTCAAGGATTCCCAGATGGAGGGAAAGGTAGCTTCCTGCATTGAATGATTCTCAGGTGTACGGCGAATCACCACAGTCTTCTTTTTCTTCTTCAGTATTCCCAGATGAGGGATGAACTCTTCAAGACTAACATGGTTTGCTCCTTCGTCCTTCTCGTACTGCTGATGGCCGTCCAGGTGTTGGTTCCTGCCCCGCGGTACTCTTCAAACAGGATGGCGTCATCAGCTAACAGCTTAACATTCCCTTCTCCCTGACTGATACTGTCCATGTCTCTCTGCTCAGGTTGCGTCCAATGGTGGCTCAGTTCCTTGTCAGTGTCTGCGTTTACCTCCTCCTCCTGCTGCTGACTCTGGGGGAGGAGTTTAAACACTGCCCCGCCCACCTGCAGTCCCTCTGCTGCTGGGTTCATGAAACCAAGTACGCGCGAACGGTGCTCATGCTAACTGCCATCGCTGTCAACTCCGTGATTGCCTCTGTGAACATCGTAAGTCTGGATATTTAGTCGTTCTTTAAGAAGTGGGTCCTTCAACCATGTGTTATAAATGCATCACGGTATGTTCAGGGCAGCTGGGAAACTGGAACTGCTGCTGAAGTTTCATATAAATGACATCTTCTGAAATCTTTGTTCAGTTTTATGCTCCATCTTTACTCCCGTTGGTTTCCAGCTGTGGTGCGACTGGTCGGAATCTGTCTTTCCTGAGGCTACAGTGACTCCGCCCCCCTCCAGGTGGTCAGACATGAACATCTGTACTCATCCAGAGGTCAGAGCTGCTCCTCCAGTAGAAGCGGGTGACCTAGCCGTAGCCTGTAAACCTGTCCACCGTCTCGTTACTAGTTCATGGTGCTGAGTGCGGTGGTCGCCATGGTTACGTGCGCGGTGTTCCTCAGGCTGAACTGCATGCTGCAGTTGGCCTTCCTGCTGCTGACCGCCGGCCTCTATGCCTACGTCATGGAGACGCACAGGTAGGCGTGCCGCCTGCGCCGTCTGCGTCCGGCTCCTGCGCATCCTGTCTGACGTTCTCGCGTTTCTGGTCCGAGGTCAGCTCCCAGCAGCAGTGCCAGAGGGGCGTCTGCCTGGTTCTCATGATGATGTTCGTCCTGGCGGTGCTCTACAACAGCAGACAGGTGAGGAAGGGAGAGCGCGCTGACTGACGGAGCTGCGGCTCGCCGCCACCTCCTCACGCAGACCTCTCCTTCTGCTTGGCCGGTAGCTGGAGGCGATGGCACGGCTGGACTTCCTGTGGCGCCTGCAGGCAGGGAAGGAGGTGGAGGACATGAAGGAGCAGCGGGAGCATAACGAGTGTCTGCTGCTCAACATCCTGCCGGCTCACGTGGCTCAGCATTTCCTGGAGAGAGACGCCAACAGCGAGGTGAGCCGCGTAGGAGCGTCATGTCTAAAGTGAATCAGTCCGACATTAGGAGCAATATTTATGGTTATTTAGCGCTTTAAGAGAAAAATAAGGTTATTTTATTCCAAGTCATTTTTTCACTTTGTCCTTCATTCATTTATAAAATTCTTACTTTGTTAAATAAATATTTAGTTTGGAGCTAAATATTTATTAAAAATTTGCAGCTAAATTAGATGCCTTGGGCCTCCATAGTGGGGCGCCCTGTCGTGGTTAACCCCTTCCTGACCGCCGCTCTGTGTGACTAGGAGCTCTACTCCGAGTCCTACCAGCGAGTCGGCGTCCTGTTTGCCTCCCTGCCCGAATTCTCTGACTTCTACGAGCAGAAAGAGCTGGTCCATCAGCAGGTGGAGTGTCTCCGCCTCCTCAACCACATCATCAGTGACTTTGACGAGGTAACCCCCCCCCACCCCCTCTTAGATGAAGCTCTGACCTTTGACCTTCAGCTGCTTCGCTCTCTGTGTCCCTGAAGCTGCTGGATGAGTGTTTCTTCCAGGAGGTGGAGAAGATTAAGACCATCGGCAGCTCCTACATGGCCGCCTCAGGCCTCTCACCTGACCGACAGGTAAGCCCCGCCCTCATACCTGCCCCCTGCGTTCACACCTGGTCCCTCATGGTGCTGCTGGCTTCAGGACTGCGAGGACGGCTGGCATCACCTCAGTGAGCTGGTGCTGTTCGCTCTCGCCATGGAGGAGACGCTGCGGCAGATCAACACGCAGACTGGAAACCAGTTCCAGCTCCGAGTCGGTGGGAGCAGCGCACACACACACACACACACACACACACACACACACACACACACACACACACACACTGCTGTAGAGCAGGGGAAAAAAGCCACAGTGGGAAATTCTGGTTATAGTAGAAATATCACAGAACTTTGGAAAAGTTTATAAAATAAAAGATAAGAAAAAGCAAAGTATTGGACTGCCCAGTGTTAATATAAATATAAATACTTATAACAAAGCAGTGACGCATGGACAGCGGAGACAGAGAACATGTCTCCCTCTGAATCTGGAGCAGCGCCCCCTGCAGGAGGCAGCTGGACACGCAGCTGACCCAGCCCTCCAGCAGAACCTCGCTGCCCTTTGAGACCTGAGGCTAAAGGTCAGAAGGTCGACCTTTGACCTCCAGCCTGGGGGGTCGGGGTACGAAGAGCTTAACTGATGATAAAAGATCATAAAGACAATATTTACTCAGCATTTAGGATTTTTATCACAATTTTCTTTTATTTCAGTAAAAACATAAAACTTAGAGAAAAACTGATGATTTCAAACAATCGGGATCCGTTAATCTAACTTTAGATTTTCTGTTTAACGTTTTTTAAATTCAAATCTTTTTTTTAATACTTTTTTCAGATTTTTAATATTTCAAACCGTCATTTTTTAATCCTTTCATCCTTTACTTCCTCCGCTGATGCAATCCCCTCTGCGTCCTGCAGGCGTCGCTCACGGCCCCGTCATCGCCGGCGTCATCGGCGCCACCAAGCCTCAGTACGACATCTGGGGCGCCACGGTGAACGTGGCCAGCCGGATGGAGAGCACCGGGGTCAGCGGCAGGATCCAGGTGAGCCGCCCATCTGGGGGGAGGGGCTTCTTACGTCACCATGGCGATTCTCATCACCGCCTCCTTCCAGGTCCCAGAGTCCACCAGCTGCATTTTGGTGGAGCGAGGCTTCCTACGGCAGCTCAGAGGGGACATTTACGTCAAAGGCATCAGCGAGCGTCACGGAAAGGTTGGTAGTTGAATTCCAGGAGCTGAAAGGAACGCTGACGGAAACGTTCCCCCTCTCTCTGCAGGTTCGGACCTTCTTTGTCAGCAATCGGGACGAGCGGTCCAGCTTCGCGGAGCGCGGCGGTGGGCGGGGCTTCAGCATGAACAGGAACACGCTGGGAGCAGTGGTCTACAGTCTGGTTCAGGCCAGGAAGAGGGAGAAGCTGAGGGAGGAGAACGGAGGCTTCCACCTGGTGAAGGCCTCCTGAGCCGCTTCCTCCCTCTGACCTGCAGACGCTGGAAACAGACTCTGGACACTTTGAACCGGAGGTGAGGCCTCCAAAGTTCTGGAAGAACCGGATCCCAACCACAGTGGATCGGATCAGAGCGGATCGGAATCAGACTGGATCGGAACCGGACTAGAATCGGACCGGATCGGAATCAGACTGGATCGGAACCGAACTGGAATTGGACCGGATCGAACCGGATTGGATTCAGACTGGATCGGAACTGGACTGAATCGGAACCGGACTAGAATCGGACCGGATCAGACTGGATCGGAACCAAACTGGAATTGGACCGGATCAGAATCAGACTGGATCGGAACCAGACTAGAATCGGACTGGATCGGATCAGACTGGATCGGAACCGAACTGGAATTGGACCGGATCGAACCGGATTGGATTCAGACTGGATCGGAACCGGACTGGATCGGAACCAGAATCAGACTGGATCAGAATCGGACTGGATCAGAACCAGACTAGAATCGGACCGGATCGGATCAGACTGGATCGGAACCGAACTGGAATTGGACCGGATCGAACCGGATTGGATTCAGACTGGATCGGAACCGGACTGGATCGGAACCAGAATCAGACTGGATCAGAATCAGACTGGATCGGAACCAGACTAGAATCGGACCGGATCGGATCAGACTGGATCGGAACCGAACTGGAATTGGACCGGATCGAACCGGATTGGATTCAGACTGGATCGGAACCGGACTGGATCGGAACCAGAATCAGACTGGATCAGAATCGGACTGGATCGGAACCGGGCGGATTCTCATTGTTAGACGGAAAAATATAAAAGCTACGGATCCTTTCAAGCTTCAGTTTTATGACGTTTTTGTAACATTTTAGTTCCTGAAAGTCGAAATAAAAAATATTTAAACTTGTACACTGTGTTGCTGATCATCTTACAGGAGAATGGGATACGGAGCAACAAAAAAAATAAAATAAAAGGAAGCCGGCATACAACGTCACCTTCACGTTAAATCATGTCTTCAGTGGCCGGCAAACATTCTATTCAGTGTATTTCTATAGCTCCAATTCACATCATGTCATCTCAGGTCACTTTCCAGTTCACCAGATCATCCAGTCAGATTGATTCAAAGTTTTCTATCTAAGGAAAACCAGCTGATTGCATCGACTCATTGACTCTTCAGCAATGGAAGGAAAACTAATTGAATCTGCCTTGTTTTTGTACACCGAATATTAAAACACTGAATTTTGATCTGCTAAAAATTCAGCTGCAAAAAATTTGAATGCAAATGTGTTAACTTTTTGGTGAACTCAAGCCAAAGCAAGCAGCTTCTAGCCAATGAAATGAGCTCATTTGGCTCAGGAAAAAAAAAGGAAGTTTGCCGTCGGCTGCTTCTTCTGGATCAAACCAACAGCCTTGGCAGACGGGGGTGCTGCACTGTGATTGGCTCAGTTATTTCACCCAGACCATAGATGGAAAACTCTGTCTGTCTATTAGTAGCTACCTGGGTGAGTTGCCCTTTAAGCTGCTGAGAGGTTTTTTGTTTTTTTTTATGATCATCTTTTAGAGAAATTAACCGTCTAGATGAGAGGATTACTAACAGCTAAAGTTATCTATGTCATAATCGGAGCTTCTGGACCAAACTGCAGACTGACCTGCAGAGATTTTAAAGGTGCTCTTTAAAAGGGAGCACCTTTTCCCTCTGGGTGCTCTAACTTTTCACTCTGGGTGCTCTAACTGTTCCCTCTGGGTGCTCTAACTGTTCCCTCTGGGTGCTCTAACTGTTCCCTCTGGGTGCTCTAACTTTTCCCTCTGGGTGCTCTAACTGTTCCCTCTGGGTGCTATAACTGTTCCCTCTGGGTGCTCTAACTGTTCCCTCTGGGTGTTCTAACTGTTCCCTCTGGGTGCTCTAACTGTTCCCTCTGGGTGCTCTAACTGTTCCCTCTGGGTGTTCTAACTGTTCCCTCTGGATGCTCTAACTGTTCCCTCTGGAAGCTCTAACTGTTCCCTCTGGGTGCTCTAACTGTTCCCTCTTGGTGTTCTAACTGTTCCCTCAGGATGCTCTAACTGTTCCCTCTGGGTGCTCTAACTTTTCACTCTGGGTGCTCTAACTGTTCCCTCTGGGTGTTCTAACTGTTCCCTCTGGGTGCTCTAACTTTTCACTCTGGGTGCTCTAACTGTTCCCTCTGGGTGCTCTAACTCTTCCCTCTGGGTGTTCTAACTGTTCCCTCTGGGTGCTCTAACTTTTCACTCTGGGTGCTCTAACTGTTCCCTCTGGGTGCTCTAACTTTTCACTCTGGGTTCTCTAACTTTTCCCTCTGGGTGCTCTAACTGTTCCCTCTGGGTGCTCTAACTTTTCACTCTGGGTGCTCTAACTGTTCCCTCTGGGTGCTCTAACTGTTCCCTCTGGGTGCTCTAACTTTTCACTCTGGGTGCTCTAACTGTTCCCTCTGGGTGCTCTAACTCTTCCCTCTGGGTGTTCTAACTGTTCCCTCTGGGTGCTCTAACTTTTCACTCTGGGTGCTCTAACTGTTCCCTCTGGGTGCTCTAACTTTTCACTCTGGGTGCTCTAACTTTTCACTCTGGGTGCTCTAACTGTTCCCTCTGGGTGCTCTAACTGTTCCCTCTGGGTGCTCTAACTGTTCCCTCTGGGTGTTCTAACTGTTCCCTCTGGGTGCTCTAACTTTTCACTCTGGGTGCTCTAACTGTTCCCTCTGGGTGCTCTAACTGTTCCCTCTGGGTGCTCTAACTTTTCTCTCGGTTTCTAGATTTCATCCAAACCCGTTTTTTTTTTTTCTTCATCCAGCTTTTAGTTTAATGATCTAATTCTTTCATCGGCTGAATAGATCTGCAGGGGTGTGAATACTTTTCTCTATGTTGTGAGATGCTTTAAGGACCCCCTCCTGTGGATGAAGGACCTCCTGGGCTCTGATTGGTGGGTTTGACGATGACTCCTCATCTCAGAAGCTGCTGACCCGTCACGCCTTCGACGTGTGAGGTCACGGCGCCTTAACCACTCAGCCTTTGTTGTTGCCCCGCCCCTACTGTAGTCTGAAGCATGACCTTTGACCCCCCATGGGGTGTGTAACAGGTTTATGGTCCTCCTCCTCCATGAAGCTCCGTCAGCCAATGGGCTGCAGCCGTCACCCCCCCCACATGACTGTAGGGAGGAAGAGGAGGAGGACCTTCCTCTCCAGGCAGCATCATTAAAAGGCTGAAGGGAACCAGGAGCAGCCAGAACTGGACCGAGGAACCAGCATCATGAACGGAACCACCACTGAAACCAGGAACCGGACCGGGTCCGATGAGCTCGTCTTCTTCATCAACGGGAAGAAGGTAAGACTGGAGCGGAACCGGATCAGAACCAGGAATGTCTCTGTCTGCATGGAAGCATCCGGATGAGGAGAGTCAGGAGGTCCAGAGATAACCGGGTCTGAAGAAGTTCTGGACCAGAACCGCCCTCATGGGTTCTGCTCGGGTCCGTTCCTTCCTCTGACTGTGACTCTGCTGAACTCTGCAGGTGGTGGAACAGAACCCGGACCCTGAGATGACTCTGCTGACCTTCCTGAGGAGGAAACGTAAGAGCTGATGTAACCAGAACCTTCTGGGCTCTGAACAGAACCAGAGGGCTGGAGTGGGTGAATGTTTACGGGTCGATGTTCTGCTGAAGCCGCCAACTTTTACAGACCTGACAGTTAATCATTTCCCAACGCTTCAACCTTTAGATCCTGATCGGATCCAGCCGCTGGATCAGATCCTCCTGCTTTAAACTGGCAGGTTCTGATGAGGTTCTGATCAGGTTCTGATGAGGTTCTGATGAGGTTCTGATTAGGTTCTGTTGATGATCGGATCAGGTTCTGATCAGGTTCTGATTAGGTTCTGATGAGGATCTGATGAGGTTCTGATCAGGTTCTGATGAGGTTCTGATGAGGATCTGATCAGGTTCTTATCAGGTTCTGATGAGGATCTGATCAGGTTCTGATGAGGTTCTGATGAGGATCTGATCAGGTTCTGATCAGGTTCTGATCAGGTTCTGATGAGGATCTGATCAGGTTCTGATGAGGTTCTGATTAGGTTCTGATGAGGATCTGATCAGGTTCTGATGAGGTTCTGATTAGGTTCTGATGAGGATCTGATCAGGTTCTGATGAGGTTCTGATTAGGTTCTGATGAGGATCTGATCAGGTTCTGATCAGGTTCTGATGAGGATCTGATGAGGTTCTGATTAGGATCTGATGAGGATCTGATGAGTTTCTGATTAGGTTCTGATGAGGATCTGATCAGGTTCTGATGAGGTTCTGATGAGGATCTGATCATGTTCTGATCAGGTTCTGATCAGGTTCTGATGAGGATCTGATCAGGTTCTGATGAGGATCTCCTGGTACCGAGGAGTCCGTCAGGAGAAGGTCCAGGGTTCTCCTGCCTCCTCAGGTCCAGAACTGGATGGAATCCTTCACCATGTTCTGAGTTTCTGTCTCTGAGCTGTTAATCAGCAGCGTTCAGGTCCGGTTCTGTTCAGGTTCTGATGAGGTTCTGATGAGGTTCTGATTAGGTTCTGATGAGGATCTGATGAGGTTCTGATCAGGTTCTGATGAGGATCTGATGAGGATCTGATGAGGATCTGATCAGGTTCTGATCATGTTCTGATCAGGTTCTGATGAGGTTCTCATGAGGATCTGATCAGGTTCTGATGAGGTTCTGATGAGGATCTGATCATGTTCTGATCAGGTTCTGATCAGGTTCTGATGAGGATCTGATCAGGTTCTGATGAGGTTCTGATGAGGATTTGATCAGGTTCTGATCAGGTTCTGATGAGGATCTCCTGGTACCGAGGAGTCCGTCAGGAGAAGGTCCAGGGTTCTCCTGCCTCCTCAGGTCCAGAACTGGATGGAATCCTTCACCATGTTCTGAGTTTCTGTCTCTGAGCTGTTAATCAGCAGCGTTCAGGTCCGGTTCTGTTCAGGTTCTGGGAGGTCAGTGACCGTCTGCTGCAGCAGCCAGTTAGAGTTCAACCTCTGTCTGATGAACCAATCAGAGAGCAGGACCTCAGCTACAGCAGTCAGGTTTCACTCAGGAGGACGTTTCTACCTCAACTAACCTCAGACACGACCAGAAACCAGAACCAGGTCCCCTCTGAGAACACCTGCTCTGATTCTGGTGTCTTCAGAGGAACCAGAACAACACCAGGTGTCCCCTGAAGACACCAGAACCAGGTATCCTAATGAGGAACCAGAACCAGGGTCCAGTAGAGACCAAAGCGCCCTCCAGGTGTCCTCCACCATCACTGGGAGGTCAGGATGGAGAAGAAGTCACCTGATCTGGAATCAGATGTTTGGAGGTTTGGACAGAAGACTGTCTTTCTAAAAGACCTTCTGTTGGAGGGACGGTCTCCCCGCAGGACGGCGTGGTTTCCTGAAGGTAGCGTATAATTCAGATGTTTCCCGGTTAGACTGGAACCGATTGAGCTCTGGGCCCTAAAAGCAGCCGTTTGTCTGAGCGGCAGTGAAGGCATCAGCAGTTAGAAGGTGTGAGCCCCCCAGGATTAGGAACGCTTCACGGATGTCCTCCTAAACCCACCGTGTCTCTGCTCCTCAGTGGGCCTCACAGGAACCAAGCTGGGCTGCGCCGAGGGCGGCTGCGGCGCCTGCACCGTCATGCTGTCCAGATACCAGCCTCACAGCCAGCGGCTGCTGTATCCTTCCACCGCCCTCCTGAGGCGGCGTGCCTCAGCCGCCGTCATGTGCCTCCATATGACTTCTGACGCTTTCAGCGTCACCAAACTGATTTCACAGCAGCTCAATGAGCGTTTGTCTTAACTTTGCTGAGTCATTACTCCGTCAACGCCTGCCTGGCCCCCCTGTGCTCCCTACACCTGGTGGCAGTGACAACCGTGGAGGGCATCGGTAGCGTGGCGAGGAAGCTACATCCTGTCCAGGTAAAGAACGATAACCTGTAAATGAAGGAAACCGTCCGACAGGCGGAACCTTCCAGAATATAAACGCTCGTCTCTGTGCTCAGGAACGAATCGCTAAGGCTCATGGGTCGCAGTGCGGCTTCTGCACGCCGGGGATCGTCATGTCCATGTACGCCCTGCTGAGAAACAACCCAACGCCAAAGATGGCCGACGTGGAGGAGGCCTTCCAAGGTTCTCGGCCCCGTCCGGAATCAGAGACCCCGTCAGAGGGAATCCGGTTGCTTTAATATTTTCCTCTACTTTCAGGAAACCTGTGCCGCTGCACCGGATACAGACCTATTCTGGAGGGATACAAGACCTTCACGGTGGTAGGAAGACCTCCAGATGTCTACTGACCTGTAGTGGAGTAAAAACTATTCCCTCTAGTTTAATAAACGGAGGTGGATGATTTCACCTTTATCTTTATAAGAGAGAACAGTTGATCATGGTAATCAGGCCTGTTCTGCCTGGCAGTTTGTCTCCTTATGTGATGAAGAAACTTTGAAGGTTGTGTTAAAGCAAATGACACGCTTTAACAAACCTTTGTCTTGGGAATAAGAACGTTTAGTCTAGAACTGAACGTGTAGAAAATAACGGCTCCCTGGATGTCCGCTAGGAGGGCGGGTGTTGCAGAGGCAGAGGAAAAGATGGCTGCTGTCTGACCAATGAGAAGGCGGCTCTCCAAAGCTCAAAGGACGCCAATGAGGCAAGTCTCCTGCCGGCCGGTATCAGTTCTGATATTCTGCTGCGTTCAGCATGTCTGAAGCAGTAAAATGATGTCATTGCACAGGAGGCTCCATCTCTTTACAACGCGGCAGACTTTGAGCCCTACGACCCCACACAGGAAGTCATCTTCCCCCCGGAGCTCCTGGTAAGTCCCTCAGAACACTCCCAAGATGGCGTCAGAAAAGAACCCTGGATTTGGAACGTGTAAACCAGAGTATCATCAGCATGGCGTCAAACTTTGCTCTTCCCCTAAAACCAAACTCTAAAGTAGAGAAATAAACAGCATCAGTCCAATATGGCCGCTGTGGGTTCACTACTGCTGGTGTCATCGTTCACTTCCTGGTGTCAGCAGAGGCTCCAGTGGAAGGTTGCTACCAGTGAGCTTAATGGCTGGAGATGATTTTAAATGTTCTTCTTCTTCTACCACAGAATTTGTCTAAATCCAAAAGATCGACGCGTTCTCTACGTTTCCATGGAGACCGAACAACATGGCTGCAGCCGGAGAGTCTGGAGGAGTTTCTGCTGCTGAAGTGGAAACATCCAGATGCCAGAGTGGTGGTGGGCAACACTGAAGTAGGTGGGTCTGCTGCCCGTCATCCAACCACACATCCAACCGTACATCCATCATCCATCCATCATCCATCCATCATCCATCCATCATCCATCATCCATCCAACCATCCAACCATCCATCATCCATCCATCATCCATCATCCATCCAACCATCCAACCATCCATCATCCATCCATCATCCATCATCCATCCAACCATCCAACCATCCATCATCCATCCATCATCCATCATCCATCCAACCATCCAACCATCCATCATCCATCCATCATCCATCCATCATCCATCATCCATCATCCATCCAACCATCCATCATCCATCCATCATCCATCCATCATCCATCCATCCATCCATCCAACCATCCATCATCCATCCAACCATCCAACCATCCATCATCCATCCATCATCCATCCATCATCCATCCATCATCCATCCATCCATCCATCCAACCATCCATCATCCATCCAACCATCCAACCATCCATCATCCATCCATCCATCATCCATCCAACCATCCATCATCTATCCATCATCCATCCATCCATCCATCATCCATCCAACCATCCATCATCCATCCAACCATCCATCATCCATCCAACCATCCATCATCCATCCATCATCCATCCATCATCCATCCAACCATCCATCATCTATCCATCATCCATCCATCCATCCATCATCCATCCAACCATCCATCATCTATCCATCATCCATCCATCCATCCATCCATCATCCATCCAACCATCCAACCATCCATCCAACCATCCAACCATCCATCATCCATCCATCCATCCAACCATCCATCCAACCATCCATCATCCATCCAACCATCCATCCAACCATCCAACCATCCATCATCCATCCAACCATCCAACCATCCATCATCCATCCATCATCCATCCATCATCCATCCATCATCCATCCATCCATCCATCCAACCATCCATCATCCATCCAACCATCCAACCATCCATCCAACCATCCATCATCCATCCATCATCCATCCATCATCCATCCAACCATCCATCATCTATCCATCATCCATCCATCATCCATCCATCATCCATCATCCATCCAACCATCCAACCATCCATCATCCATCCATCATCCATCCATCCAACCATCCAACCATCCATCCATCATCCATCCATCCATCCATCATCCATCATCCATCCATCATCCATCCATCCATCCATCATCCATCCAACCATCCATCATCCATCCAACCATCCATCATCCATCCATCCATCATCCATCATCCATCCTTCATCCATCCATCCATCCATCCATCCATCATCCATCTATCCTTCATCCATCCATCCTTCATCCATCCATCCATCCATCCATCCATCCATCATCCATCCATCCATCCTTCATCCATCCATCCATCCATCCATCACCCATCCATCCATCATCCATCCATCCATCCATCCATCCATCCATCCTTCATCCATCCATCCATCCATCCATCCTTCATCCATCCATCATCCATCATCCATCCATCCATCCTTCATCCATCCATCATCCTTCATCCATCCATCATCCATCCATCATCCATCATCCATCCAACCATCCAACCATCCATCATCCATCCATCATCCATCATCCATCCAACCATCCAACCATCCATCATCCATCCATCATCCATCCATCCAACCATCCATCATCCATCCATCATCCATCCATCATCCATCATCCATCATCCATCCAACCATCCATCATCCATCCATCATCCATCCATCATCCATCCATCCATCCATCCAACCATCCATCATCCATCCAACCATCCAACCATCCATCATCCATCCATCATCCATCCATCATCCATCCATCATCCATCCATCCATCCATCCAACCATCCATCATCCATCCAACCATCCAACCATCCATCATCCATCCATCATCCATCCATCATCCATCCAACCATCCATCATCTATCCATCATCCATCCATCCATCCATCATCCATCCAACCATCCATCATCCATCCAACCATCCATCATCCATCCAACCATCCATCATCCATCCATCATCCATCCATCATCCATCCAACCATCCATCATCTATCCATCATCCATCCATCCATCCATCATCCATCCAACCATCCATCATCTATCCATCATCCATCCATCCATCCATCATCCATCCAACCATCCAACCATCCATCCAACCATCCAACCATCCATCATCCATCCATCCATCATCCATCCATCATCCATCCATCATCCATCCATCCATCCATCCAACCATCCATCATCCATCCAACCATCCAACCATCCATCCAACCATCCATCATCCATCCATCATCCATCCATCATCCATCCAACCATCCATCATCTATCCATCATCCATCCATCATCCATCCATCATCCATCATCCATCCAACCATCCAACCATCCATCATCCATCCATCATCCATCCATCCAACCATCCATCATCCATCCATCATCCATCCATCCATCCATCATCCATCATCCATCCATCATCCATCCATCCATCCATCATCCATCCAACCATCCATCATCCATCCAACCATCCATCATCCATCCATCCATCATCCATCATCCATCCTTCATCCATCCATCCATCCATCCATCATCCATCTATCCTTCATCCATCCATCCTTCATCCATCCATCCATCCATCCATCCATCCATCATCCATCCATCCATCCTTCATCCATCCATCCATCCATCCATCCATCCATCACCCATCCATCCATCATCCATCCATCCATCCATCCATCCATCCTTCATCCATCCATCCATCCATCCTTCATCCATCCATCATCCATCATCCATCCATCCATCCTTCATCCATCCATCATCCTTCATCCATCCATCATCCTTCATCCATCCTTCATCCATCCATCATCCATCATCCATCCATCCATCCATCATCCATCATCCATCCATCCATCCTTCATCCATCCATCATCCTTCATCCATCCATCATCCATCCATCCATCCTTCATCCATCCATCCATCCTTCATCCATCCATCATCCATCCATCCATCCTTCATCCATCCATCCATCCTTCATCCATCCATCCATCCTTCATCCATCCATCATCCATCCATCCATCCTTCATCCATCCATCCTTCATCCATCCATCCATCCTTCATCCATCCATCATCCATCCATCCATCCTTCATCCATCCATCCATCCTTCATCCATCCATCCATCCTTCATCCATCCATCATCCATCCATCCATCCTTCATCCATCCATCCTTCATCCATCCATCCATCCTTCATCCATCCATCCTTCATCCATCCATCCATCCTGTGTTTCAGGTATTGAGGTCAAGTTTAAGAACCTGGTGTATCCAGTGATTCTGGCTCCAGGCTTCATCCCAGAGTTGAATGCAGTGAATCAAACTGAGGACGGTGAGAACTTCTCAACAAATGTACTAAAACCTTCCTATGAAAGAGCAGATAGGACTGAAACTCTGTCTGGCCCTCAGGCATCGTGTTCGGAGCAGCGTGCACGCTCAGCCACATGGGGGAGGTGCTGAAGGAGGCGGTGCGGAGTCTTCCTCCTCATCAGACGGAGGTCTTCAAGGCAGTCCTGGAGCAGCTGCAGTGGTTTGCAGGACAGCAGATTCGTAATGTTGCTGTGAGTCAGTTTCTAAAGAAATGTTCACTACCCATTGGGAGTATGGGACCTACAGGGAGGTCAGGTGCTCCTCCATCTAAGGGGGCCTTTCCAGGACCGTACCGAGGAGAGCGCCTCCTACAGCTCTACAGGATGAAGGTCGTCTCTGAATCTTTCTGACTGTTTTCTTGTGTTTTCAGGCTGTTGGAGGAAACATCATGACCGCCAGTCCCATATCAGACCTCAACCCCGTTTTTATGGCAGCAGGCTGCAAACTCACTCTGATGGACAAAGGTGAGTACGCTCTGTCTGAGGGCCCCTCTGGGAGCCCATAGTCCCCTCTAAGCTGTGAATCTAAGCAGCGCCAACATTTACACGTGCAGAGATCACAGCATCTGTGGGTGTTTACAGTCTGAAATAACCTTTAACCAAAAGTCCAAACCAGATGTTTTCCTTCCTGTAATGTAAACAGACTATTATATAAGTTTTCATCCCAAATTGTGCAACAGAAGTTTTAATGTTTTCCAATCAGTTAAGCATCCGGGTGAAACGTTCACCAGTAACTTCAGATCTTTGCAGATGATTAACAGTAAATAAACATTCAGATTGGGAGCAGATTAAAGCTGCAGATTAACTGATGCTTCTCTGTAGAGCAGGACTTTGATGCTCTAGAGCGCTCAGCAGGGCTTGAGCCAAACGATCAAGGTGGAAAACCACCAGCTGGAAGAACAGAGAAGCATCTCCAAACCATGTGAAGTCCATCATCCTGCAGGGAGAAATATCCCCGCTGAGAGGAGAACATCTCAGATAGCTGCCAACCTTCCCAGGAGAGAAGGTCCATAGCTCATGGTCAGAGCCTGAAGCTCAGAGAAAGGTTAAAGGTTCCAGTCTGGAACTAGTAATGCTGCTCCTCTCTAGAAACAGGAGGCCAGCAGGGTTTAGGTCAGCAAAGCTGCACCTGGATGAAAGACAAGACTTCTGGAAAAGTCTCTTCTGGGACAATGACATAGTTGACATAGACAATAGTTCTGCTGCTATAGGCTTAGACTGCTGGAGGACATAAGGACCCCTTTTTTCCTTTTTCTATGTCTGCTTCTGTCTCCTCCATCACTACGTCCTCATTCTGACTCCTCCTTCCTCTAGACGGCAGTCGTGAGGTTCAGATGGATGACGGCTTTTTCACGGGCTACAGGAAGACGGCTGTAAGACCTCAGGAGATCCTGCTCTCTGTGCACATCCCCTACAGCAAGAAGGTGGGTCCAACAGCTCCACCCGCATCATAGCCGGGGTCTCTCACCAACCCCCACCTCCACCTGTCTCTTTAACCTCCACCTATCACCAACACCTCCTTTCTTTATGCACCAAATAACATTCTGGTGTCGTTGCCATCATTCCATCCCTCCACAGTGCCAGTTTGTCTCAGCCTTCAAACAGTCCCCCCGCCGTGAGGATGACATCAGCATCGTCACCGCTGCGATGAGCGTCACCTTCTCTCCCGGGAGTGACATCGTCAAAGACCTGAGGCTGAGCTTTGGCGGCATGGCGCCAGTGACGGTGCTGGCCAAAAAGACGGCCAACAGACTGCTGGACAGGTAAACACTCAACAGTACCGATGGACTGTCAGAGTAGGACTGGATAGAACAAGTTTCCTGGTCCTGCAGACAGTGGGGGGAGGAGCTTCTTCAGGATGCTTGCTGCTCATTGGCTGAGGAGATGCGCCTTGATCCCTCTGCACCTGGTGGCATGGCGGCATACCGCCAAACCCTCACTCTAAGCCTTTTCTACAAGTTCTATCTGACGGTTCTGCAGAAGCTCACATTGCAGGTGCGTCTTATTGATCCCACATCGTACATCTATGGAAACTGACCAACGTTGAAGACAACTGATTCTTTCAGGGTGTCGGAGTGCAGGAGGTTAGCTCAGACTGTCTGAGTGCCACAGAGGTTTATCACCCAGAAACACCGTCCAGCGTCCAGGTCTACCAGGTACAACAAACACTGCAGCTAAGACACAAACACATGAGCGGTCCGGGAGCGTCATTCTCTGCTTCTCCTCCAGGCGGTGCCAGAGGGGCAGAGCCAGGAGGATGTGGTAGGCCGTCCCATAATGCACCTGTCGGCCTTGAAGCAGGCCACAGGTGAGGCGATTTACTGTGACGACATACCTCTCTATGAGAATGAGCTCTATCTGGCAATGATCACCAGCACCAAGGCACACGCCAGGATACTGTAAGATCCGCCTCACACACACCTGGACAGCGGCGCTCACCTGTCCAGTCTCACCTGCCGTGTGTTTGTTGCAGCTCTGTGGACACATCAGCAGCAAAGCGGTGTCCTGGAGTCGTCTCCTTTCTTTTTGCCAGCGATATTCCCGGCAGTAACATCACCGGACTGGGGCATGACGAGACGGTTTTTGCCGACAGCGAGGTGCGTTTCTGTTAGGCCGACCGATCAGGTTGCCCCGTCAGATTCAGGTTGGTGACGCGCCTGTTCCCATTGCAGGTAACCTGTGTGGGTCACATCATCGGTGCCGTGGTGGCCGACACCCAGGTTCACGCTCAAAGAGCTGCCAAAGCTGTGAAGATCCAGTATGAAGAGCTGAAGCCTGTGGTCACCATCCAGGTAGGACCAGCAGCTCCTGGAGCTCAGGAAGAATTCAGGTAGAACTCACCGAAGCACGTCCCGTTCTGACTTTCATTTTGTGTTCTTTGGCAGGAAGCCATCGCCACCCAGTCCTTCTATGAGACCATCAGAAGCCTACAGAGCGGAGACCTGGAAACGGGCTTTAAACAAGCAGACCACATCCTAGAGGGTAGGGATGAGAGCCTGCGTCTCAGTCTGGATGCTTTATCAGTCATTAACCAGCCATCTATCTCTTAGGGGAGATACATATCGGAGGTCAGGAGCATTTCTACCTGGAGACACACGTGACGCTAGCTGTTCCCCGAGGAGAAGATGGAGAAATGGAGCTCTTTGCTTCGACCCAAGCCCCTTCTGATACTCAGGTAGCATTCCCAGGAAATGGCCAGCCAAGAAAACTAAGACACCATCTCTTCCACTGTGAACTAACATCAACCTCATTTTGAAGTAATCCTGGCCTGTTTTACATACATCATCTCAAAGCTTCTAGTTTCTCAATATATCAATGAAAAATGGGTAAAACGCAGACATGGTTGAGAATAGTCATGTCTCATTGTATTACATTTGTTCTACATCATGTCAACCACTAATGCAGAAAATTTCAGTCCTCTGGCCCCAACAGTTCCAGAGCTGTGGGGCTTTAAACTGTTGGAGTCACAGTGTCTCCAAACATCTCCAAATGTGCCAAATGCTTTTACTCAACTATTTGACCCATAAAGTAACACTGAAGCATTTTAATGGCATTTTTAAATCAGTGTATATACCAAAATGTAACTTTTATAAACCTAATACAACATAAAAATCTATAAAAATAGTGAAATGGCTGCTTTTTAAGCTAAAATAAGCCCCAGTGCCTTTTCTGAGCTGTGTTTTGTTTTATTTTTCGGCCTTAGGCCTTGTAATAAAACTAAATCAGCATCTAAACGTAAAAAAACCGTTGTTATTATTCAGCTTGGAGCAGCGCACTGATCCAGCCTCTGCTGTGTGTTTCACACGTATGCAAGCCGGTAACACGGCTCTGCTTTCTGGAACCCAGCCATGTCTACCCTTGTTTGAAACCTTATTTCATCGGCCACAAAGCCAAACAGCCCACATGGTCTCGACCAATAACTGCAGGACTCTATGATGCATAATATCGCGCTACCCGGGGGGTCAATGGCTGACAGGCAAGGAGCGCTTGTGAGACTTCAACGACTGTCCCTGACTCAGTCAAACGAGTCATACAAAGATGCGGACACTTTTGTCTTGTAGATAAGAAGACGATGTAAAGAACCAGACCAAACATCGCAGGCTAACAACTGAGGCAATATATATTAGGAAGTAAATATTAGCAAGAATCTAAGAATTAGCTATGGCCAGCTAACTTTTCTGATGTCCATGTGTTATGTGCGATTTTCTCATTATGGAATATTTTTATTGCAAATATGCTGGATTACTTATAATCTGTGGACCTTTATGGACAAATGGAGTATAAACAATTAAAGATCGGATTTATAAAACGGCTTCTGGACGCCTTCAAAGGAAAGTAGTTGTAGCTGCTTTTTAATGTTTACATGTTGACATGCTGCTATATCTGTGTTAGTTGTGCTTTGGTGCTCGCTGTTTCCATAAAATGAACGCGGTGTTTGAATTGTGGAGAATCTAAGCTTTCCAACGATGTCTAACATCTCTATAGTGGGAAAAGTTTTATCGGTGTAATTTCCATTTACTCTGAGTTATTAGTTGTAAATGCTTTAAAACGGGTCGCTGGCGATCCAGTGGGTTTGGAGAGGAGATCATGTGACACCAGGAACCGATGAAGTCAATAGTGAACTCCCTGTTTGTCTTCTTCTTTAGTCCCATGTTGCAAAGGCCCTGGGGGTTCCAGAAAACAGGGTGCTGGTGCGAGTTAAGCGGCTGGGCGGAGGGTTCGGAGGGAAAGAAAGCCGAAACAGCTTGTTGGCCACTGCTGTCGCCTTGGCAGCAAACAAGTGGGTGTTCCTTCCTCTTATGTTTTTAAAATCTCCCAAACTACGTGGATTTAAAGAGGTTGGTTTGTTTCAGGCTGAAGAGACCTGTTAGATGTATGCTGGACCGAGACGAGGATATGCTGATCACTGGCGGTCGACACCCCTTCTACGGAAAATACAAGGTACATGGGCAACCCCAGTTCAGCGGGGGCTCCTGACGCTGAAGTTCTACATGGATTTTAGCTTCACTTCCAGTTTTCTTTTGTAGGTTGGTTTCCTCCAGAGTGGTAAGGTGGTCGCTCTGGATGTGGATCTCTACAGCAATGCTGGGAACTCTATGGACCTGTCTCTGGCGGTGAGGATCATCCGTAACGAGTAGTTTTGTACTCTATCACAGTATGTTGATGATACTTTACTCTCTCGCTCATTCAGGTTATGGAGCGGGCTTTGTTTCACGTGGAAAATTCCTACTGTATACCAAACTTTCGCTGCCAAGGCTTCTTGTGCCGCACCAACCTGCCATCCAACACAGCTTTTAGGGGCTTTGGAGGCCCGCAAGGCATGATGGTCGCTGAGAACTGGATAACAGACGTGGCTCATACTCTGGGCCGCTCAGCCGATGAGGTCTGTAGATGAAGGAATGTATGAGCATCTGACCTCTGGCGTAAGAGAGGCTAATCTGTGCTCTGCTGCAGGTACGCCGGTTGAACCTGTACAGGAAAGGTGACGTAACACCATACAACCACGTCCTGGATGCGCTCACCCTGGATCGCTGCTGGGACGAGTGTCTTTCAAGGTCTGAATACGAGAAGAAACGAGCCGCTGCCGATCGCTTCAACAGGTGAGGCTGAGTACCGTTTGGGAGTAAATTCGTTTATGACCAGATAGTTACATCACCTGAACTGTTTGACCTGGGAGAAAAGCCCCTTAACCTCATCCCTCATTTGAAAAGACTTAAACAACTTCTAAAAAATGAGGAGAGACCGGAAATAGTGTGGAAGGTGGTACCTACCAGCAGTTTTTGTGTTTCCGTTCCAGAGAGAACCGCTGGACCAAGCGAGGACTCGCCATGGTGCCCACCAAGTTTGGCATCAGCTTTATAGCCACCTTCCTAAATCAGGTGTGCTCTGCTGGACATCCAGCTGTTCTTTGTGGAACCAGATTCGTTTGTTGATCTATTAATAAACTAGTTTGACTAACCATGTTCTTTGGCCTTCAGGCTGGTGCTTTAGTTCACATCTACAAAGACGGCTCTGTGCTCTTGACTCATGGAGGAACCGAGATGGGCCAGGGACTCCACACCAAGATGATCCAGGTATAAAACACACCTGTTGGGAAAAAAACTATTCTACACCATCCTACACCCCACTGCACCTCCACTACACTGTCCTACACCCCACTGGATACTCCTATACCCTCCTGCACCCCACTGCATGATCCTACACCATCCTGTCCCCCACTGCATCCTCCTACACCATCCTGCACCCCACTGCCTCCTCCTACACCATCCTGCACCCCACTGCATCCTCCTACACCATCCTGCACCCCACTGCATCCTCCTACACCCTCCTGATCATCACCATTTCAGCTGGCCATCAGATAATCAGTGACTTCCTGTGATGCATAAATAGTTTACAGAATAAAACCTGCGAGTGGATTGGTTAGTCAGGCCCTGCATAGGAACTGAACGGTGCTGGACTGTCCCCAGGTGGCCAGCAGGGTTCTGGGTATTCCCTCTTCAAAGATCTTCATCTCAGAGACCAGCACCAACACGGTGCCCAACACCAGCCCCACGGCCGCCTCCTCATCTTCAGACCTCAACGGGGCGGCCGTGCAGCTCGCCTGCGAGACTCTGCTGAAGCGCCTGAAGCGCTACAAGACCAAAGACCCTGAAGGATCCTGGGAGGACTGGGTGAGCACAACCTAGACGCTAACTGCTAAAGTCTGAACACCCCCACCGCCCCTCGCTGTGGTTCTTCTACGGGGCGCTGTTATTACAGTTAATCAGTCAAACATTAGCAGCAGTATTTATGGTTATTTAGCATTTTAAGAGAAAAATAAGGAGGTTATTTTATTCCAAGTCATGTTTTCACTGTTATTCATTCATCTATAAAATATTAGTTTGTTAAACATTTACTTTGGAGCTAAATATTTATTTAGCAAAGTAATATTTTTATAAATGAATGAATAACATAGTGAAACAAAAACCTCCTTATTTTTCTCTTAAAACGCTAAATAACCATAAATATTGCTGCTAACTTTAAACCGCTGAACGTTATAAATATTCTGAGGCTTCCTGGGTCGGTGCGTTTCCAGGTGGAGGCGGCGTACTTTGACCGAGTCAACCTCAGCGCCAACGGCTTCTACAGGTGAGCCTTCAGAACCAGTTTGACTTTAATCAACCAGAACTGGTCCCACAGTTTGGTTCTGCTCGCTCAGGACTCCGGACCTGAACTACGACTTCGACACCAACACCGGCAGAGTCTTCAACTACTTCAGCTACGGCGTGGCGTGCTCAGAGGTGGAGATCGACTGTCTGACTGGATCGCACAAGGTACGGACCCACCAGAACCGCAGGTCCACTCTGAATGGACCCGGGTCTGAAGTCTCTGACCCGTTTCCTTTGGCAGAACCTGAGCACCACCATAGTGATGGACGTGGGTCACAGCCTGAACCCGGCCATCGACATCGGACAGGTCAGTCATCCGCCCGGGTGTTGGCCACGCTGACCCAAAGGAACGCCCTAAATGTTCTCCTCTGGATGCAGGTGGAGGGGGGCTTCATGCAGGGTCTGGGGCTCTTCACTCTGGAGGAGCTGCACTACTCCCCAAGCGGGGTCCTGCTGACCCGGGGTCCTGGCTCCTATAAGATCCCAGGCTTTGGGGACATTCCCTCGCATCTCACCGTCTCGCTGCTCCGTGACTCCCCCAACGACAAGGCCATCTTCTCCTCCAAGGTAACGCCCTGACCCTGCTCCCATTGGGGGAGGGGGGGACACCCTTTAACCAGATGTGATCTCCTTCAGGCGGTGGGGGAGCCTCCTCTCTTCCTGGCCTCCTCTGTGTTCTACGCCATCAAAGACGCCATCAGAGCCGCCCGGGCGGAGTCAGGGATAACCGGAGCGTTCCGGCTGGACAGCCCGGCTTCGGCCGAGAGGATCCGCACCGCCTGCTGCGACCAATTCACCAAACTGGTACCAGAACCTCCAGAAACATCCGGAAGCTTCCTGTTTTTACTGCCTGGTTCTGACGGTCTGCTGCTCTCCCTGCAGTGTCCTCCTGCCGAGCCGGGGACCTTCTCCCCCTGGTCAGTTCGGGTGTAGCAGAGGAACGTCTGGGCGGAGTTTCACCCTCGATTTGTAGAAACGCAGTAGATCTGATCAGCTCTGATTCCTGGATGAATGTGAGGAACTGCTGTTGGGTTCTGGTTCTGGTTCCAGCATTTGGGCCGCCGTTAGTAAAGTTCAGCAGTCCGACATCAGGAGAATATTTATGGTTATTAAGTGTTTTAAAAATATTTAATTTTATTTTCACTATGTCATTCATTTATGAAACTATTACTATGTTAAACTAATATTAAGCTGCAAATTAAATATTGAATTTTAAATTAAATATTTTTATAAATGAATGAATGACAGTGTAAACATGACTTTAACCTTATTTTTCTCTTAAAACGCTAAATATTGCTGCTAATGTTGGACTGCTGACCTTTAAAAATTGCGCCCCCTACCTGCCAGCGGTAACCTCGGCGGTTCTGAGGTTTTTTCTCTTCAGTATTTTATCACCATAGATGCCGTTGATCAACCTGTGAGCCACATGATTCCACCTGAATAAAGAAAGTGAATGAAACCAACCTGAGCTCAGTGTTTTCCTTTCCACCGTCCCTCTATGCTCTGCTGTGGGTTGATCTGACCAGCAGGGGGAGCCGTCATCTGCACAGCAGTCACCATTCCTGCTGTGCTCCCTGGGTTACGGTTCCCAGAGTCTCCTCCTTCCAGGGTTCTGTTCCAGGTCCAGGATCAGAGATCAATCCAGACTCTTTCTAGTCTAATCTGACTTTCCTGCATTCCTTAATCCAGGTGTCAGCAACCAAACTAAATGCAGGTCTGCAGCTTTCCTCAACAGACCATGAAATCAATCACAGATCCATGGATTCAGCAAACAGATCGACTAACTCTGACTGAATCATCATTGAAGGAGCTACTTCTCATTTCTATCAAATAAACAGAAAAAAAGAACTAATATGGTGACATATGCAGATCCCCCCCCCACAGATACTCTGAGGCGTAGTCAGTGTTTTAATCCTGTTACTAACGCTCCCTTAAAAAAAATAAACTGTCTGTATTCAGAAACACAATCAGGTTCTAATTTAATTCAATTCTATTCAGTTTATTTCTATAGCTCCAATTCACATCATGTCATCTCAGGTCACTTTATAGATCCAGATCATCCAGTCAGATTGATTCAAAGTTTCTATCTAAGGAAAACAGATTCTGCAGAGTGGGAGAATAGAGATAGAATGAAGCAGAATGATGAAAAAGGGGTCCCTATGTCCTCCAGCAGTCTAAGCCTATAGCAGCAGAACTATAGAGATAGAATGAAGCAGAATGATGAAAAAGGGGTCCCTATGTCCTCCAGCAGTCTAAGCCTATAGCAGCAGAACTATAGAGATAGATCAGGATAACCTGAGCCACCCTAACTAGAAGCTTTATCACAAAGGAAAGTTTTAAGCCTAGCCTAAAAGTAGACAGGGTGTCTGCCTCACGGACTAAAACTGGTAGTTGGTTCCACAGGAGAGGAGCCTGAGAACTAAAAGATCTGCCTCCCATTCTACTTTTAGAAATTCTAGGAACCACTAGTAAACCTGCAGATTGAGAGCGAAGTGCTCTGTTAGGAACATAAGGAACAATCAGATCTCTGATATCAGATGGAGCTTGGCCATTTAAGGCTTTATATGTGAGAAGGAGGATTTTAAATTCTATTCTGGATTTAACAGGAAGCAAATGAAGAGAAGCCAGGATAGGCGAGATATGATCAAATCATTTAAATCAACTTTGATTTAAATGATTTGATCATGAATAAAAGACATGAACTCCTAATGTCAGCAGGATTCCAGATCACCTGAAGCCATCAGGTGTGTTCAGGTTATTCAATGTTGGTTATAAATGGATGGAGACTAACCAGAACCCAGGATGTCCTGGATCAGAACCAGAACCCAGGATGTCCTGGATCAGAACCAGAGCCCAGGATGTTCTGGATCAGAACCAGAACCCAGGATGTCCTGGATCAGAACCAGAGCCCAGGATGTTCTGCTCTGTGGAGCCTCCTTCCTCCTCCTTGCTGTGGGTGGTTGTTCTGAAGATGTTTCCTGATGGCTCCTCTGATCCACACAGTAGTTGTGTATTAAAGGCCGTAGTGTCAGAACCACAGAAACAAGGAGGAGAAGCTAATGATGCTAAAGGCTAATGGATGGACTACTATTGATCAGAGGTTCTAAAGCAGGAGGAGAATCAGAGCAGAACCAGGGATGAACTGACTGATCAATGATGGGACGTAGCACCTCCAGCCTCCCTGTTTCTTCTCTCATGTTTGGGAGGAACGTTACAGAACCACCGTGGTCCCACGGCGCCACCAGTGGATCCAGTTGTAAACGAGGTTAACGCAGCGATTCTGAACGCATCATAAAGCAGAACCTGCATTGATGGGGGGAGAATGGGGCCTCTGTGTGCAGCGTGACTGATGCTCATCCATCTGCTGACCAGACACCACCTACGGCAAACATCCAGACGTCTTCCTGGAAAATCCTGCTTCAGGACGGCGTGGGGACAGATCCTCCTTGTCCTCCTTCAGCTCCCGACCCAATAAGAACCTCTGTTTAAATTCCTGTCATTTAAATCCCAGATCAAAGAGGTTTCTAGAATTTCCTTCTTTCATCTGAGGAATATTGCAGAAATGAGCAATCTCCTGTCCAGGGGTGATGCTGAGAAACTAGTCCATGCATTTGTTACTTCAAGGCTGGACTATTGTAATTCTTTACTATCAGGAAGTCCACAAACTGTAGTTAAAAGCCTTCAGCTGATCCAAAATGCTGCAGCCAGAGTTCTGATGAAAATGAAAAAGAGAGATCATATCTCTCCTATCCTGGCTTCTCTTCATTGGCTTCCTGTTAAATCCAGAATAGAATTTAAAATCCTCCTTCTCACATATAAAGCCTTAAATGGCCAAGCTCCATCTGATATCAGAGATCTGATTGTTCCTTATGTTCCTAACAGAGCACTTCGCTCTCAATCTGCAGGTTTACTAGTGGTTCCTAGAACTTCTAAAAGTAGAATGGGAGGCAGATCTTTTAGTTCTCAGGCTCCTCTCCTGTGGAACCAACTACCAGTTTTAGTCCGTGAGGCAGACACCCTGTCTACTTTTAGGCTAGGCTTAAAACTTTCCTTTTTAAATCTGCCTGGACCTTTTACAGTTGCCTTTTGTATCTATGCTTCTTTTTCTATGTCTGCTTCTGTCTCCTTGAACCCCAGTGGGCCTCAGCAGATGGCCGCTCACACTGAGCCTGGTTCTGCTGGAGGTTTCTTCCTGTTCAAAGGGAGTTTTTCCTCTCCACTGTCGCTACAAGCATGCTTAGTGTGAGGGATTGCTGAAGAGTCAATGAGTCGATGCAATCAGCTGGTTTTCCTTAGATAGAAAACTTTGAATCAATCTGACTGGATGATCTGGATGATGTGGATCTATAAAGTGACCTGAGATGACATGATGTGAATTGGAGCTATAGAAATAAACTGAATAGAGTTGTTGGTTCTGCTGGAGCAGCAGGAGAAGAACCTGTTCCTGAACAGACCAACAGCTGGGAGGCATGGCGGTGGCAGCATCAGGCTGTGGGCCCGCTCCTCAAACAGGACCCCTGAGGGTTAAACAGAACCGTGGTTCCACCCACAGATCCAAGCAGCTTTGCTGGATCCATCAGAACCAGCCTGGTTCTGTAGAGAAACCGGTCCCAAAGGTCCGGTTTCTCTACAGAACCTCTGAACCAACGGATCATCAGAGCAGATTCTGATTCTGGTGTGAACCTCCAGCGGGTCATGTGGACTGTTGGGTTTGTTGGTGGTTTTCAGTCTGCCTGAAGGCTCAGCCATGGGACCAGCAACCCCCCCCCCCCCCCCCCCCCCCACACACACACACACACACACACACACACACCCCGTCCACAGCAGCCACACCCCTCAGAAAACTCCCACCTCCAGCAGCTTGGATCCAGAACCAGCCTCACTTTGACCAAACTGATCCTGAAAGGCGGAGAAGAAGGAAAAGCTTGAAGGCAGAAGAAGCTGCAGTTCTAGTCGGACCCAGCAGGGGGAGCTTTTACCCCTCAGCTTATAGAAAGACAGAGAAGGAGGAGCAGGAGCTCCAGTTACAGTCAGAGGATGGCTCCCAGGAGGATGGAGACCAAGCCGGTGATCTTCTTCCTGAAGATGCTGCTGCTGCTCTACTCCTTCATCTTCTGGGTGAGAAACCTCCTCCTCCTTCTCCTCCTCCTCCTCCTCCTCCTCCTCCTCCTCCTCCTCCTCCTCCTTCTCCTCCTCCTCCTTCTCCTCCTCCTCCTCCTCCTCCTCTAGGACCTCCAGAGGAAGAAGCAGTGAGTTTTTCCTCAGATCCTCCAGCAGGTAACTCCTCGTTTCTACAGGCAGGTAGGTGATCATGACCTTTAACCCGGTGGAGCTCTGATCCGGTCCTGCAGAGGTTCTGATTGGAAACCAAAGTGTCTCCAGGAGAAGGTCCTGAGGAGGAGGAGGAGGCTGCTGGTCTCACAGGGAGGTGATAATGAAGAGCGGTGAGGTCTGAGGAATCTCCCAGGTTCCTGTGACCCGCCTCAGGTTCTGGGTTCAGGTCCCACTCTGAGTCCACTTCTGGATGTTTGCATTTCCTACGGATTGATGCCTATTTTACATTTTTTATATTAAAATCAGATCAACTGGAAAAAACTAAAATCTCAAGAAGAACATCTAGATCTCTGCAGGCCTGACTAACTGCCTCGGTTATGAACAGACATCAGGATCCAGAAGGTTCCAAGACCAGAACCACTGCTGACCCAGAAGAACCCAAAGGCCCGGCTCACATTCACATCTTGATAAAGTTCTTAGGTCGGTGGTTTGGTTTGCAGCTAGCTTGTTCTGTCATTAGCTAGGTCAGTGGTAGGCTAGTCCAGGTCCTGAGGGCCGGCATCCGGCAACGTTTAGATGTTCCTTTGGTTCAACACACCTGGGACCTTGGTTTAGTCAGTAGTTAGTTGGTTAGTTATTAGTTAGCTCCATTCCTATCATCCTTCCTATCGGCCAGGTGTGGTTGGTGTTAGCAGACATGTTCAGGTTGTTAAATCGGTCTATAAGCTGATGTCAGACTATCAGCGAGTAAGGAGACCCTTCCTGAGCATCTCCACCTGCCTCCTGGTTCCTCTGTAGATGTTAGCTGATGATCCGGGCTAAGTGTCTCTACCTTGCTGAGGCCTGTAGATGCAGGTCTGCAGAACGGTGAGTCCAGGTCATGGAGACCGGACTGGGATGTAGCCCGGATCCTGGTACCAGTTCTGGTTGGAGCTTTAAATCCAGTCCAGCACAGATGATGGAGACCTGTCCGTCATCTGGAGCTGATCTCCATGACTGACAGCTGGAGGCTCCACGTTCTGACCACATGGAGCTGATTCTTTATAGATCCACTGTCCTCTTCTGAGGTTTGGTGTCTGAAACCCTTTCGGCCATTTTTCCAGAGACACTGATGGAAAACCATGAAGCCACATGAGACGGTTGGTGGGAAGATGGATAGAGAAGCTCCTTTGATAAGTGGAGCAGATCGAACCGCAGCTGATCTCCTGTCCCACACAGACTGACCTCTGATCAGCCGCCTGCTGGTTCCTCTGAGAGGCTGGAGCAGGAGGCGCAGAAACAAACCTGACGATGGCTTCCTTCAAAGAAACGGGTGACATCTACCCAGAAACATCTCAGCTGATCTAAGGCCCTCATTATCCCTGCTAATTATAACATTCATTTAGACACTGTGTGTTTCTGAGGCGATGATTTCTGAACCTTGAGGCAGAATCTTTGGTTTTGATCTGTGGCCATTAGAGCAAACCTGAAGGATCTGGTTTAGTCAGCCCTCCCTCGGTCTCAGATTGCTGAGATGTTTGCAGCGAGCGTCGCTACCTGCATCTCTTCTCATCTGTTTGCTACTTTGTCACTCTGCTGCCATCGTCCGCTGTCAGCCACCAGCTGCTGAATCATCAGTCCTTCCTGTGACTCCGTCTGTCTGCTGATGCTCGGATCTAAGAGACAAAGAGAAACAAGCAGACCCTCTGAGAGCAGCTCTGGTCGTCCTCCATCCTCCATAATCTGGGGGATTATGGTTGAAAATCAGATCCAGACCTCAAACATGTACGGCTGGAAGCCTTCTACACCAAACCAAGCTTCTGCCTCCCTGGCGTCCTCTTCCACAACATCTTCGTCCCCGCTTTCCTCCTCTAAATAAACAATGGATGACGGAGGAGACTCATCCACGACCTCCGACACTAAACTCTCCTCCTCTTGCATGTTTCCTCTGTCCATAGCGTTCCTTGACAGCGTCGTTTCTAAGTCACCAATTTAGTGCTACTTGGTCCCAATGGAATTTCCCATTGGGAACCTGCTAGCACTAAGATGCTAACTGGTTAGCAAGATGCTTCAGACAAACCAGCTACAACCAAACAGAGCCGGTTCTGGAATGGAGGAATCAGGTTGAGTCCAAGAATATCTGAGATGTGATTGGCTAACAATCTGACCACTGGCTCCTCCCCCTCAGGTGACAGGTGTGGTCCTGCTGGTGGTGGGTCTATGGTGGAAGTTCATGTTGGGCCCCTACATGTTGCTGATCTCCAACAGCCCCTCCAATGCTCCCTACGCCCTCGCAGGTACCGGCGCCGCCATCATCCTGTTCGGACTCTTCGGATGCGTCGCCACCTTCAAGGGCCGCCCCTGGATGCTGAAACTGGTGGGAGCTCTCCTCCGAGTCAGTTCCAACCATCTGAAGGCATCAGGCATTGACTGATTCTTGACCTCTGACCTCTCCCCAGTACGCCCTGTTTTTGTCTCTGGTCTTCATTACTGAACTCATCGCTGGAATCTCTGGATTCATCTTCCGTCACGAGGTGGGAACCATTTCTGCTTCCCTTCCCAGCCTCCATGCAGCAACGCAGGGAACTGACGGACCGCTGCTCTGTTCACAGATTAAAGGAACCTTTTTAACCTCCTTCTCTCAAGCCGTGATGTGGTACAACGGATACGATGAAAGAAGCATGGCTGTGGACGGCGTCCAGCGCACAGTGAGTATCCCAGTTCCAACCCTGAACGGCTGCATATGAAACATGAAAGAAATGCCTCAGGTCGCGATAAAACCTTAGCGTGGCGTCCCTCAGGGTCCATTTCTCTGCCCTATTCAATTTCACTTTTTCTTTTCCTCCAGATCAAACTTCTGGAGAAAAGCATCCATACTGATCCTGTGATATGCAGACGATGCACTAACTTATGTGTGGTCTGAAGCAGAACGGGCGTCTCGCTGCTCTCTCATCTTCTCTCTGGGTCTTTCTTCGTAGTTGAAATGCTGCGGAGTGCATAACTACACCAGCTGGTTCAGCAGTGTGACCTTCCCCGTCAGCGGGATCCCTGCCAGCTGCTGCGCTACCTTCACCGAGTGCAGCGGTGCCGACCTGAAGAACGCAACTCTGGCTCCACGCAAGGTCTACAGACAGGTCAGGCGCCCACCTCGCCCCCAACAGGTTCTGATCAACCTGAAGAAGGACAGGTGGACTGACTGAGGACCTGTCTCCGTGTCTCTGCAGGGCTGCTATGAGCTGGTGGTGTCCTTCATAGAGAGCAACATGGGGATCATTGCAGGCGTGACCTTTGGCGTGGCGTTCTCCCAGGCACTGAACCCCCCCATCATCTCAGAGGGGCTGAGGTAGGTCTGTTAGTGAGGCGGTGGTCCTAATGAAGCTCTCCTGTCTCAGGTGGTTGGAGTGTCTCTGGCCTGCTGCTTGTCTCACCTCATCAACACCAACCAGTATGAGATAGTCTGACGGCTGAGCTGTGTCCTTCACCCGCCTCATGGGGGGTTCCTCTGTCTGACCTCCTGCTGTCTCCGCCCATCCGATGAGGACTGGGGCGTCACCAGGGAAACCGGCAGGAACGAACACCGTCTGGCTGTTTCCTGTATTCATTCTGTTTTAAGTGCAGTATTTAAATGTGCCCAGCAGGGGGAGCCACAGTTCTGGTGGTGTTCCTGCTCAAACTGTGGACAAACTGCAAGAGTTTCAATGTTTGTGTTTAGAAAATAAAGGTTTTCTGAAGCTGAGCTGATGAATCACAACGAATCAGGCGTCTCACCTGGCCAGGCTCACCTGGTTCCTTCAAAATAAAAGCCTACTAAGGCTAAGGCAGGAGGGAAAGCAGTCATCCAAGAAAATAATTCAAAAGTAGCTGGAAAATGGCTGAAAGTATCTGATTTAATACTGAAGTAATCAGACTAGAGGTTCCAGTTAGAACATCCGGATGTTCCAGTTAGAACACCTGGAGGTTCCAGTTAGAACATCCAGATTTTCCAGTTAGAACATCTTATTGTTCCAGTTAGAACACCTGGATGTTCCCGTTAGAACACCCGGATGTTCCCGTTAGAACACCCGGATGTTCCAGTTAGAACACCTGGATGTTCCCGTTAGAACACCCGGATGTTCCCCTTAGAACACCCGGATGTTCCCGTTAGAACACCCGGATGTTCCAGTTAGAACACCTGGATGTTCCCGTTAGAACCCCCGGAGGTTCCCGTTAGAACACCCGGATGTTCCCGTTAGAACACCCGGATGTTCCAGTTAGAACACCTGGATGTTCCCGTTAGAACACCTGGAGGTTCCCGTTAGAACACCCGGATGTTCCCGTTAGAACACCCGGATGCTCCAGTTAGAACACCTGGATGTTCCCGTTAGAACCCCCGGAGGTTCCCGTTAGAACACCCGGATGTTCCCGTTAGAACACCCGGATGTTCCAGTTAGAACACCTGGATGTTCCCGTTAGAACACCTGGAGGTTCCCGTTAGAACACCCGGATGCTCCAGTTAGAACACCCGGATGTTCCCGTTAGAACACCTGGAGGTTCCCGTTAGAACACCCGGATGCTCCAGTTAGAACACCCGGATGTTCCCGTTAGAACACCCGGATGTTCCTGTTAGAACACCTGGATGTTCCCGTTAGAACACCTGGAGGTTCCCGTTAGAACACCTGGATGTTCCCGTTAGAACACCTGGATGTCCCAGTTAGAACACCTGGATGTTCCCGTTAGAACACCTGGATGTTCCCGTTAGAACACCTGGAGGTTCCAGTTAGAACACCCGGATGTTCCAGTTAGAACACCCGGATGTTCCCGTTAGAACACCTGGAGGTTCCAGTTAGAACACCTGGATGTTCCCGTTAGAACACCTGGAGGTTCCAGTTAGAACACCTGGATGTTCCCGTTAGAACACCTGGAGGTTCCAGTTAGAACACCCGGATGTTCCCGTTCGAACACCTGGAGGTTCCAGTTAGAACATCTGGATGTTCCCGTTAGAACACCTGGAGGTTCCAGTTAGAACATCTGGATGTTCCCGTTCGAACACCTGGAGGTTCCAGTTAGAACACCTGGATGTTCCCGTTAGAACACCTGGAGGTTCCAGTTAGAACACCTGGATGTTCCCGTTAGAACACCTGGAGGTTCCAGTTAGAACACCTGGATGTTCCCGTTCGAACACCTGGAGGTTCCAGTTAGAACATCTGGATGTTCCCGTTAGAACACCTGGATGTTCCCGTTCGAACACCTGGAGGTTCCAGTTAGAACATCTGGATGTTCCCGTTAGAACACCTGGAGGTTCCAGTTAGAACATCTGGATGTTCCCGTTCGAACACCTGGAGGTTCCAGTTAGAACATCTGGATGTTCCCGTTAGAACACCTGGAGGTTCCAGTTAGAACACCTGGATGTTCCCGTTAGAACACCTGGAGGTTCCAGTTAGAACACCTGGATGTTCCCGTTAGAACACCTGGAGGTTCCAGTTAGAACATCTGGATGTTCCCGTTAGAACACCTGGAGGTTCCAGTTAGAACACCTGGATGTTCCCGTTAGAACACCTGGAGGTTCCAGTTAGAACACCTGGATGTTCCCGTTAGAACACCTGGAGGTTCCAGTTAGAACATCTGGATGTTCCCGTTAGAACACCTGGAGGTTCCAGTTAGAACATCTGGATGTTCCCGTTCGAACACCTGGAGGTTCCAGTTAGAACATCTGGATGTTCCCGTTAGAACACCTGGAGGTTCCAGTTAGAACACCTGGATGTTCCCGTTAGAACACCTGGAGGTTCCAGTTAGAACACCTGGATGTTCCCGTTAGAACACCTGGAGGTTCCAGTTAGAACATCTGGATGTTCCCGTTAGAACACCTGGAGGTTCCAGTTAGAACACCTGGATGTTCCCGTTAGAACACCTGGAGGTTCCCGTTAGAACACCTGGATGTTCCCGTTAGAACACCTGGAGGTTCCCGTTAGAACACCTGGATGTTCCCGTTAGAACACCTGGATGTTCCCGTTAGAACACCTGGAGGTTCCAGTTAGAACACCCGGATGTTCCCGTTAGAACACCTGGAGGTTCCCGTTAGAACACCTGGATGTTCCCGTTAGAACACCTGGAGGTTCCAGTTAGAACATCTGGAGGTTCCAGTTAGAACATCTGGTTGATAGAACTACAGACCACAGCTGGATAACAGAGACTAACACCTCAGAGAACCCAAACCATGGAGACAGAGATAGAAGAACATCTGGTAAATGAGAAAACATCTGCTTCACATTTTCTACATGTAAACATTCGTTTTTTAATGTAAAAGAAAATAAATGAACAAAAAAAAGAATATTTATGAATATTAAAACTCAACAACTGAAGTTTAGAATAAATGTATTCTATACTAACACATGAAAACATCTGGTGGAGGGCTGAATGTGGCCCAATGACCGACAGACAGACTGACTGAGGGACTGACTGAGGGACAGACTGACTGAGGGACAGACAGTCTAAGGGAAACCTGAGGGACAGATGGATGGACAGCTGACTGAGGGACATTTTTTGAGGGAGCAAATTCCCTCCATTTTGTGTCTAGCAGCTGATAAAGTGTGAAACACGTCATAAATCTCTGAGAACCAATCAGAGCAAACATCAATCATAAACATTAATAAAATATAAATGTTTAAATGAATGAATCAGATAAAAACTAATTCATTAGTTATTTTCCATCTGACGTCATGCCGCCTCTGATTGGCTGGCTGCAGCATGCCTCCCTGTGATTGGCTGAGGCTCCTGCTTCCTGAGCCTCTAAGCTCCTCCCACACCGCTGCTCCGCTGCTCACCTCTCTGGACTCCTCGGATCTCGGACCGCCGAACCACCAGAACCCGGAACACCATCCGACCCAGCTTCCGGTAAGAGTTCGGTTCGGTTCCAGCGGGGAGGGTTCGGCTAGAGGGGCGGAACCGGTCCGGATAGCGGGACCCGGAATTAGCGCCGCCTGGGGCGGAGGTGAGACCGCCTGGTTCTGAGCCGCTGGTTCTGACCGGCTGGTTCTGACCTGCTGGTTCTGACCCATTAATCCGTGTTAGGTTCGGTGGATCAGACCGGGAGGTTCTGCCGAACTTCTGTGCTGTTCTGCTTAGTTCGCCCTAAAAACACAGCAGGAGATGCTGGTTCCATTGTCGGACAGTTCCTGTATGTCGTCACCTTTCTGCCATTAAAGGAGCTTCCGGTTCCGACCGGTTCCGCTCACTGTAGTGGGCCGAACCTAAGGTTTAACAGCTGGTTCCAGATGTTTGGTTCTGGGTCCAGTCTGCTGGGCGGTACCATCCTGGATCGGACCTTTTCCCCAAACTTTTCTCTGCTTCTTCCAGGTGGAGACCTGCTTCCTGGGCCGGACCCGCTGGAGCGTCCAGGACCGGTTCTGATTGGACCCAGGAGGGTTCTGATTGGGCCCAGGACCCAGTTCTCATTGGACCCAGGACCCGGTTGTGATCGGACCCTGGACCCGGTTCTGATCGGACCCAGGACCCGGTTTTGATTGGACCCAGGACCCGGTTCTGAGTGGACCCAGAACCCAGTTCTGATTTGACCCTGGACCCGGTTCTCATTGGACCCAGGACCCGGTTCTGATTGGACCCAGGACCGGTTCTGATCAGACCCTGGATCAGGCTAATCGGCGCTAATCCTCCAAAGAGCATTAGCGTCATTAGCGGCTAATTCTGCTCCTGGAGGCCAGCTGTCCTCCATGATGCAGACGCCGGACTCCATCAACCAGAACTCCCTGTTCAACGCCATGAGCCGCTTCATCGGCGCCGTCAACAACATGGACCAGACCGTCATGGTGCCCAGCCTGCTGAGGGACGTCCCGCTGGACCACGGCGAGGAGCTCAGGGCGCCGCAGGCTAACGGCTACTTCCAGGACGGGGACATGTACAGCTCCTACGTCCTGCTGAAGTCCATCAGGAACGACATGGAGTGGGGCGTCCTGCAGGGGGACGGGCGCCCTAGGGAGGACCGGGACAGTGTGGAGAACCGGGAAAAGGTGGAGAACCGGGACAGTGTGGAGAACCGGGACAGTGTGGAGAACCGGGAAAAGGTGGAGAACCGGGACAAGGTGGAGGAGGTGCAGCCAGCGGAGGCCGAGGGCGACGACCTGGAGAAGCAGTTCCATTTCCATCTGAACGGACTCCACGCAGTGCTGTCCAAGCTAACGCTGAAAGCTAACACGCTAACAAACCGCTACAAGGAGGAGATCGGCTGCAGAAACTGACAACAGCATGCAGGCACTCTTAGCTCCTCAGCTAACAGAGCTGGCAGCCACTCCTTAGCTCCTCAGCTAACATCGCTAGCCACCACTCCTTAGCTCATCAGCTAACAAAGCTAGCATCCACTCCTTAGCTCATCAGTTAAAAGAGCTAGTATCCACTTCTCAGCTCATCAGATAACAAAGCCAGCATCCACTCTTTAGCTCATCAGCTAACAGAGCTAGCATCCACTCCTTAGTTCATCAGGTAACAAAGCTAGCATCCACTCCTTAGCTCATCAGCTAACAGGGCTAGCATACACTTCTTAGCTCACAAAGCTAGCATATACTTCTTAGCTCATCAGCTAACAGAGCTAGCATCCACTTCTTAGCTCATCAGCTAACAAAGCTAGCATCCACTCCTTAGCTCATCAGCTAACAGACCTAGCATCCACTCCTTAGCTCATCAGCTAACAGAGCTAGCATCCACTCCTTAGCTCATCAGCTAACAGAGCTAGCATCCACTCCTTAGCTACTGCCAGGAAAGCTGGAAGGTTCTGGGACGGTCTGGTTATCCCTGAAAGCTAGCCGGTTAGCTGCAGGACCTGATGATGTCAGGAAAAGTTACTTCCTTTGTTTATGTCAAAGAAATTAAATTGTAATTTATTGGACCAGAACCTCCAGGTTCTTCCTCTGGTTGTCATGGCAACGATTCTAACCAAGTGTCCTTAACTGTAGCATCGGGCTCCTTCCTTAAGCTCCTCCAGCTGGACCAGAGCAGCTTTTGGAGCTAAAATCTAAGAAGCTAAAAGCTAACCTGAGCTAGCTACTAGAAACAGAAGCTAGCTTCTAGAACATTAGCTAGCTACCAGGAACAGGAGCTTCCAGCTGGACCAGAGCAGCTTTTGGAGCTTAAAGCTAAGAAGCTAACAGGCTACAGCCAAAAAGCTGAAACCAAAGAGCAAACGCTAAGATGCTAAGGCTGAGAAGCTAAAGAGCTAACTGTCGTACCTGTGAGTCCGTTCTCCTCCATCTGAACCCGACAGGACGCTGATGGTTCCTCCTGATGGTTTGGACTCTGCTGCTGGCTGGTTCTTCACCTTGACCCGGTTCTGACCCGGTTCTGGGGTTCTGTTCATCCCTTCATTTCTCTCTATCAGCTTCTTCTAATGCTGCAAACCTTAAACTATGCAAAGATGCTGACGGCACCACAGGCTGGGCTGAACCGGACCAGAACTGTCTGTTCTGGAGGACTTCATCTAACCGGTTCTGTTTGGGTTCCATGTTAGACGGGCAGGGTTCTGGTTTCACTCCTGGTTCTGATCCAAATATTTGTTAACACTTTGAACCAGATGGAGAACCTGAAGGAGAACCTGATGGAGAACCTGATGGAGAACCTGAAGGGGAACCTGAAGGAGAACCTGAAGGAGAACCTGATGGAGAACCTGAAGGGGAACCTGAAGGAGAACCTGATGGGGAACCTGATGGAGAACCTGAAGGGGAACCTGATGGAGAACCTGAAGGAGAACCTGATGGAGAACCTGATGGAAAACCTGAAGGGGAACCTGAAGGAGAACCTGATGGGGAACCTGATGGAGAACCTGAAGGGGAACCTGATGGAGAACCTGAAGGAGAACCTGAAGGGGAACCTGATGGAGAACCTGAAGGAGAACCTGATGGGGAACCTGGTGGAGAACCTGAAGGGGAACCTGATGGAGAACCTGATGGGGAACCTGATGGGGAACCTGAAGGGGAACCTGAAGGGGAACCTGATGGAGAACCTGAAGGAGAACCTGAAGGGGAACCTGATGGAGAACCTGAAGGAGAACCTGATGGAAAACCTGAAGGGGAACCTGAAGGAGAACCTGATGGGGAACCTGATGGAGAACCTGAAGGGGAACCTGATGGAGAACCTGAAGGAGAACCTGAAGGGGAACCTGATGGAGAACCTGAAGGAGAACCTGATGGGGAACCTGGTGGAGAACCTGAAGGGGAACCTGATGGAAAACCTGAAGGAGAACCTGAAGGGGAACCTGATGGAGAACCTGAAGGAGAACCTGAAGGGGAACCTGAAGGAGAACCTGATGGGGAACCTGATGGAGAACCTGAAGGGGAACCTGATGGAGAACCTGAAGGAGAACCTGAAGGGGAACCTGATGGAGAACCTGAAGGGGAACCTGATGGAGAACCTGATGGAGAACCTGAAGGGGAACCTGATGGAGAACCTGATGGGGAACCTGATGGGGAACCTGAAGGGGAACCTGATGGAGAACCTGATGGGGAACCTGATGGAGAACCTGAAGGGGAACCTGACGGAGAACCTGACGGGGAACCTGAAGGGGAACCTGACGGAGAACCTGATGGGGAACCTGATGGGGAACCTGAAGGGGAACCTGATGGAGAACCTGATGGGGAACCTGATGGAGAACCTGATGGGGAACCTGATGGGGAACCTGATGGGGAACCTGATGGAGAACCTGATGGAGAACCTGATGGGGAACCTGATGGAGAACCTGATGGGGAACCTGATGGGGAACCTGATGGAGAACCTGATGGGGAACCTGAAGGGGAACCTGATGGGGAACCTGAAGGGGAACCTGATGGAGAACCTGAAGGGGAACCTGATGGAGAACCTGATGGGGAACCTGAAGGGGAACCTGATGGAGAACCTGATGGGGAACCTGATGGAGAACCTGATGGGGAACCTGATGGAGAACCTGAAGGGGAACCTGATGGAGAACCTGATGGGGAACCTGATGGAGAACCTGAAGGGGAACCTGACGGAGAACCTGATGGGGAACCTGAAGGGGAACCTGATGGAGAACCTGATGGAGAACCTGATGGGGAACCTGATGGAGAACCTGAAGGGGAACCTGATGGAGAACCTGATGGGGAACCTGAAGGGGAACCTGATGGAGAACCTGATGGAGAACCTGATGGGGAACCTGAAGGGGAACCTGACGGAGAACCTGATGGGGAACCTGAAGGGGAACCTGACGGAGAACCTGATGGGGAACCTGAAGGGGAACCTGATGGAGAACCTGATGGAGAACCTGATGGAGAACCTGATGGGGAACCTGAAGGAGAACCTGAAGGAGAACCTGAAGGAAGAACCGGATGGAGAACCTGATGGAGAACCTGAAGGGGAACCTGAAGGAACAACCGGATGGAGAACCTGAAGGGGAACCTGATGGAGAACCTGATGGGGAACCTGATGGAGAACCTGATGGGGAACCTGAAGGAGAACCTGAAGGAGAACCTGAAGGAAGAACCGGATGGAGAACCTGATGGAGAACCTGAAGGGGAACCTGAAGGAACAACCGGATGGAGAACCTGAAGGGGAACCTGATGGAGAACCTGATGGAGAACCTGATGGGGAACCTGAAGGAGAACCTGAAGGAGAACCTGAAGGAAGAACCGGATGGAGAACCTGATGGAGAACCTGAAGGGGAACCTGAAGGAACAACCGGATGGAGAACCTGAAGGGGAACCTGATGGAGAACCTGATGGGGAACCTGATGGAGAACCTGATGGGGAACCTGAAGGAGAACCTGAAGGAAGAACCGGATGGAGAACCTGATGGAGAACCTGAAGGGGAACCTGAAGGAACAACCGGATGGAGAACCTGAAGGGGAACCTGATGGAGAACCTGATGGAGAACCTGATGGGGAACCTGAAGGAGAACCTGAAGGAGAACCTGAAGGAAGAACCGGATGGAGAACCTGATGGAGAACCTGAAGGGGAACCTGAAGGAACAACCGGATGGAGAACCTGAAGGGGAACCTGATGGGGAACCTGATGGAGAACCTGATGGGGAACCTGAAGGAGAACCTGAAGGAGAACCTGAAGGAAGAACCGGATGGAGAACCTGATGGAGAACCTGAAGGGGAACCTGAAGGAACAACCGGATGGAGAACCTGAAGGGGAACCTGATGGAGAACCTGATGGAGAACCTGATGGGGAACCTGAAGGAGAACCTGAAGGAGAACCTGAAGGAAGAACCGGATGGAGAACCTGATGGAGAACCTGAAGGGGAACCTGAAGGAACAACCGGATGGAGAACCTGAAGGGGAACCTGATGGAGAACCTGATGGGGAACCTGATGGAGAACCTGATGGGGAACCTGAAGGAGAACCTGAAGGAGAACCTGAAGGAAGAACCGGATGGAGAACCTGATGGAGAACCTGAAGGGGAACCTGAAGGAACAACCGGATGGAGAACCTGAAGGGGAACCTGATGGAGAACCTGATGGAGAACCTGATGGGGAACCTGAAGGAGAACCTGAAGGAGAACCTGAAGGAAGAACCGGATGGAGAACCTGATGGAGAACCTGAAGGGGAACCTGAAGGAACAACCGGATGGAGAACCTGAAGGGGAACCTGATGGGGAACCTGATGGAGAACCTGATGGAGAACCTGATGGGGAACCTGAAGGAGAACCTGAAGGAGAACCTGAAGGAAGAACCGGATGGAGAACCTGAAGGAGAACCTGAAGGGGAACCTGAAGGAACAACCGGATGGAGAACCTGAAGGGGAACCTGATGGAGAACCTGATGGAGAACCTGATGGGGAACCTGAAGGAGAACCTGAAGGAGAACCTGAAGGAAGAACCGGATGGAGAACCTGATGGAGAACCTGAAGGGGAACCTGAAGGAACAACCGGATGGAGAACCTGAAGGGGAACCTGATGGGGAACCTGATGGAGAACCTGATGGAGAACCTGATGGGGAACCTGAAGGAGAACCTGAAGGAGAACCTGAAGGAAGAACCGGATGGAGAACCTGAAGGAGAACCTGAAGGGGAACCTGAAGGAACAACCGGATGGAGAACCTGAAGGGGAACCTGATGGAGAACCTGATGGAGAACCTGATGGGGAACCTGAAGGAGAACCTGAAGGAGAACCTGAAGGAAGAACCGGATGGAGAACCTGATGGAGAACCTGAAGGGGAACCTGAAGGAACAACCGGATGGAGAACCATCTAAACTCCATCAGAACCTGGAGGTTCTTCTCTGTAAATGAATTTCTGTTTTTATCTGATGATCATCTTGGTAATAAAACCTTTGAAGGTCTCCGTCTGCTGCTTCATTGAGGAGACCAGCTGCTCCAGATGTTCCAGATGTTCTTATATCAGGAGGTTCCTGCTTAGAATCACTGTAGGACAGGTTCTATGTATGTCTATCTATGTTTCCTGACGGATACATTCAGGGTGCTCTAGTTCTATACATCACTGATTCACT